GTACTAAATTCAGTCATATCGGATTATTGAATGGGAATGCCTCATGAATTCTTGACTTCACTGTTTTTTGTGTTTTTCTACAACAATGTGTGGAAAATGTATGCATGGATAACATTATAGTTATGCCAACAACAAAAACTCAGTGAGCAAGGACAAGAATGAGAACTTATTCTGGAATGCTGAAATCTAGTACACATACAACAATCTTAAAAATCGCAGTGATAAATCAAAATCCAATGATTACTAAAATGTATTTTAAGTAATGTAAAATAAATCACCACTAAAAAAGCAGTATATAGTTTCATTCAATATCCGTGATTTAAATTGAAAAGAATTATACTCGGCTTAAGATAAAATACATATCTTCTCATTTATCAATGTTCTTATCATCTTGAAAATAATAAAATCGTTGATGCACCTAATTTGTAACAATTTCAGTTAAAATTCTAGTTTAACTGGTAGCACAAGCACTTAATTTTTTCATTTAAATTAAGTATAATAATTGTTAAACTTAAATCAGTTAAAAATTTATTTATTCAGATTTCTCTTACGCAATTTGATCAAAGCACAATTTGTGAATTTGAAATATACAATAAAAGAAACATCATGTAAACTATCATCATGTGAATTATTTTTTATAATTATACATTATGTAACAGTTATTTATTAACTGTTATTAACATAATCTATAATGTATTAAATTTAACTACACTTTCTTTTATTAAGGTTCCTCCCTTGTTTGTGTTATATCAGTTTAGAAATTTAAATACTATATCGACTATTAACGGTTAACACAAAACTTCTAAATATATATACATCACAAATACTAGATTAAAAAAAATAATGAATGCTAAAATAGATAATTTGTTAAGAATGTAAAAAAAAAATACAACCTACCTAAATGAGTTTTTGTAGTAGTCCATCTCATAAGAAGAATCCCTATACCTCCGCTTCTGGTTGTAATGCGGTGATCGAGATCTGCTTAGAGATCTCGATATACTCCTGTGCCTTCTTCCTCGCGGCATCTAAACAAGCAAGAAACAAAGTGTTTTAATATAAATTAAGGAATAAATACATTTGTTATATAATGGTTTTATTTTCTTAGTATAATTCTAATCAATCACACATTACTTTTTCATATATCATGGATAATAATAATAAATGATTATTTCGCCATGATGGAAAATGTGTTACCCTTCCATGACAGCCTGCTTTCCATAAGTACAAATACTTCCACTTATTACTAATGAATACAATAAACAAAAAAACTTTTTTTTTTATTCAGTCGAATAATACATATAAATACATAAAAAATAGCACATAACTAAAAAAGTAATTTGTTATTTTTCCACTATAGCCTGCTAAATAAATACTTGTATTGTATAAAAGGAATTGTAAAATTAACAGTCTTTTTATGATAATAAAACTAAATAAATAAAAAATAATATTAATTTAGAAAAAATGATAAACTGAATCCCTTGAGTCAAGAATGTATGAATCAATTTTATATGACTGACTGCAAATTTGAAATTACAGATATTAATTCTATTTTTATAAATATATTATATCATGTTATAAGAAAAATTGTAGTATAAATAGAACTAACAAAACTAAAAATAAAACTACAATTTTTCTTATAACATGATATAATATATTTATAAAAATAGAATTAATATCTGTAATTTCAAATTTGCAGTCAGTTATATAAAATTGATTCATACATTCTTGACTCAAGGGATTAAGTTTCTCATTTTTTTCTAAGTTAATATTATTTTTTACTTGTTTTATTATCATAAAAAGACAATGTTAATTTTACAATTCCTTTTATACACTACAAGTATTTTTATTTATGGAAAGCAGGCTATAATGGAAAAATAACAAATTACTTTTTTAATTATGTACTATTTTTTATGTAATTATATATTATTTTTTGGTAAATCATGGCATCAGATGAATGTTGTGTGATATAAGTTTACTCATTTATGTAATAATTTATATTTAAACATATGAAGGCATTTACATTTTAAAAATAACTGTTTTAAATTTAAAACATTAAATTCCTTGTACAGCAATTTTGTATCGTACTTTCGTGGTTTATTTAAAATTATTTTTATCAGAGAATATTCAGTGACTTTTAGGGCACGAATTACTTTCTTGCTAGTTTCTCCCCACACCCTAATCCCATAACGTAATATAGATTGTCTTAAAGGGAAATAAACTGATTTTAGATAAGAAAATGCTTTAAACTTGTAAAGTAAGTTTTCTGATTCTCTTCACCAATGTTTCGATCTGAAAATTAAAATTGAAATGTTGATCCAGTAACACACCTAAAACTACTTACAAAAGGAGCAAGTGTGCAGGAGCAATTTAAAATGTTTCTGCACGAATATAAAATAATTTAATGTTTGAACCTGGTATGTTTTTTGTTTTATATATATATATATATATTTGTTTTATATATTATATATAAAGGGATATAAGGGTTACTTTGAATCAACGATCATGGATAAGAACAAGGCTTGAAAATTGTTTAATTTACATGATTAATGTTTCATGTATAAACTGGGCTGTTTGAAAATTGATCTTGATTCTTAAATAACAGATGTAACTAGGTAGATAATAATGTAAATAAAGTAATAAAACTGGCAATTTAAACAGAAAAATACTATTTCAATGAGCGCCTATTTTGCTTGCGTTTGTGACTCAGGATCAGACTGTAGAAAGCAGAATTGCACAAATTAAGAAATTATTTTTATTATTTTTTTTTAGACGAAACATTGAACACGGTGAATAAAATAAACCCACATGTATGAAGGTGATTGACTGTAACTGAAACAAAATTAAAATTTAAAAAACTAGTGATGGCAACGGATTCATCCTCCAACTTAGTAAATCATGAAAATTGACTGTTTATTTCGACTATGGACTAATATTAACGTTTAATATATTAAAAGCAAAATATTAAATGTACAAATAAATAATGGAAAAAGGAGGATTTACGATTTTGAGTAAAGTACGGCGAGAAGGAGGGAAAAGTGAGGCGATACCAGAAAATAAAATTTTGTTATATTTTTCTCCCCCAGCTGCGAATTCCTTATCACTTTATACCTTAAAAAGTACTATTTTTTTTATTCGAACGTCACTAAAAGCTAATCTGTACAGTCTCAGTAAAGTTGATTGTGATCAACCCAATTTCCCATCGGTTACAAGGTTTCCCGTTTCAGACTACTTTCCACACACAATATTTGGGAAAATCAATATTTAACAGAAACGCCCTTTCAAATGCCAAGAAAATGAAATAAATTTAAGGCCGTTAAAATATCGTTCGACTAAATCCAAAAAGAATAAATACCGACCATCATATTCCAGATATACGTCAGAAACGGGATCAGCATACCATGTTCAGTTTAACGGCGTTATGCATCCATACGTTGGACGAAAATGACAAATTAAATTCGTAAGGAATATCGAAATCGTAGGGTGAGGGTGAAACAACCCAACATATATAAACAAGAAAAAAGAAAACTGATGGGGTAGAGAAAAAAAACGGTTGAAATTAACATCGGCCAGAGTTCGTGGATAGGACGAGAATGGCTGTCAATAGTCGTTAAATCCGTCGTTTTTTTTTTGTTTTTTTTTAAGCAATAGTTTTAATTACTGTTTAAAAGTGGATCTGTGGGTGAAATCGTGGGTCGGCCATTTTTCCCGGTTGAACGCACGTCTAGTTGCAGTTGACGGAAGTATCGAGGGGTCGAAAGTGAGGCAGGTAAAACAAACGGGCCATCGACGTTCGGCTACTTACGTTTGTTGATCTGATCTTGTTAAGGAACTCCTCGAAATAATCCAGAGTTGATGAAGTTGACGACGTTGAGATATCCGAGATGCCCGATTTACATCGAAACCGACGGATTCACAGAGCCGTCCCTCCAAAAGGAAAAACAGTCAAAAAGCGAAATACGACGTCGGGCGAGAAGCGAACTCCGTCTAACCGTTACTCCGCCAGGGGGATTTTCAGCGCCACTGGACGCCATGCCACAGCCTCTTCGATCCAATACGTCGTCGTCAATCCACCCGCCTCCCTCAACAAAAAAAGTCTTTTTCAACGAATACAGACTTATTTCCAATTTTCCACTCGCCATTCTAGCTTTTTTCACATTTCAATTTATTTTCAAAAATCTAAACTTAACTTGTACTTTCTATCAGACCAAAACATGTCGACAAAAACAATAAATGACGTATTTTTTCCTACGAGATTATCTCGTTCGTTATATCGGTTATTTGAACCCCCGTGGTGCCACAGGGGTCTGTGCTGGGACCTATTCTTGTCCTTGTTTATGTTAAAGACATATTATTACATCAGAGCTTAAGTGGTTTCCAGCTTTTGATGATGACATCTCTGCCGAATATTCGGGTAATTATTCGGCGGACATAGAAGAAGGGATAAATCATGATATTTGTTTATTTTTTACTTATTTATTTAACGGACAGCCACGCCATTTTTTGTATGTACAAAAATAGAAACAACTATTTACAAACTAAGCAAAAATATACAATTTTTTTTCTTTTTTCCACATTCTACATGTATTTGTTAAATTTAAACAATGTTTGTAAATCCCAGGCCCTGAAGATGATCTCAATAAAGATCGAAACGTTGGTTCGACTGCAACTAAGAATATGTGAAATATATAAAACATACAATGACGGGAATATAAGGGAACGTAGTGAGTATACTTATAATTAATCATAAAATAATATAGTTAACATAACATATAATATACACATAATTGAGCTGTTCTATATATTCTATTATATACTATAAATGTTTTTGAGTACATCGAGATCAATTTTAAGCAGTAAAAGGAATGTACATATGTTTCTATATACCTATGTACATAACTAATAAGTATATACGTTGTGGCTCTTAACGAAGTATACATATCGATACTTTAGCGGTACAAACATCGATGGTTTAATCAACTGAGAACTAATGTTCATTTTTATTTATACTTCGAGCCAGGAGGTTTGTTAACTGCTTACTGCCATACTGCGTTGTATGCACACGTGATGACATGACAGTTGTATTTAACTCAAATGAAATTTAAGTTCTGATACAAACCAATTTGATCGAATTAAAGAAATTTGGGCGCATTTAATATTTTTGACAGATCTTGGCTAATTTCTATAGGTAAGCATGTTGCATTATAGTTATGTACTTTAGCTTGGTCGTTTTCAATTATTTTTTCCTCCTGTGACTCTCATATGCGTTACTCCTTTTCGCCATCATCAGTGGTCAGTTTGAGAGTAATTATGTACTCTATAACTACTGATTATTTGGAAATCGCGAGATGCGGTCTGTTGTGACGTAGGTTTCAGAAAAACATTTTCTTTATCGTGCCAACGTTTCGATCTTTATTGAGATCATCTTCAGGGCTCAATAAAGATCGAAACGTTGGCACGATAAAGAAAATGTTTTTCTTAAACACTACGTCACACCAGACCGTATCTCACGATTTCCGAATAATCATAGACTAATGGTCACTAATCACTACATATTTATAACTATGTCATATCCCCTTTACCCTCCAAATTTTCATTTATGAATAAAGAAAGAGTCCGCTTTCAATTGAGTTTTCTAATAAACAATTACTGATTACTGATTTTGTACATACATGTAGTGTTGTAATTTACAATAAATCATAATCGGAATCAACCCCAGACATTGGCAGTCCGGGGTCAGATCTTGATATTATCCGTCCAGCCACTGAGGTCGGACTCCGGATGCTATTAACAGCTAGGCCAATTCACCACCCAACGTATGCAGTTTCTAGATCCAAACCCATTCACTCAATTAGGGTGGTGGAGTTCAACGTACCTAATTGAGGGTACTCAATATTCCTCTATCGACCCACTCACATTACACTTTCATGCCAATAAATTCATTCACTCTCAGCACATATTAGGGACACAAAACTATCAGTACAATAAAACAACCCCATTTTCTCAAAAAATGGGAACAGGGGAGCCGATATTTGCTGCCATGCTCAAGCACAATCCTCATATTTGTTGGCAATCCTACACTCTAAATGGAGCAAAGGAACTACACCCTTCAATTAGATGAGACACATCGAGCAAACTTTCTCTGCATGCTGGACACATACCACATTGGCCCAAAAATAAGTCTCTGTGTGTCAACTTTGTGTGGCCTATTCTTAATGTAATAAACAATGATTATTTGGAGATCATGAGCTGCGGACCTACATCACAGAAGACCACATCTTGTGATCTCCAAATAATCATTAATCAACGATCACTAAATACTACACATAATAAGCATGGTTCATCTTATCGGGTTGATTATTTAAAATACATTTGTTTTTAAGTTTATTATTAGTTACTTATTTTATTTATTTATTTTAATGAGGTTCGCATCAGATGTCATATCTACCGTAGGGGTGTTGGTGTTTAAAAAAAAAATTGTATTAGGGCCGTTAAATTCAAACCCAGGACCTTTTCCTTATAGTTATGAGCACTGTGTCAATGCCTTAACCGTTGCGGCCACCATTGCCCCTATATTATTTATTAACAATTTAAGTTAAATTATCTACCAATATCTATGTTAATTTTAATCAAAGAGAAAATTTAAAAACAATTCTGAAGTAAAGGAATGTAAACGGCATAAATGACTCATTTATTTTATTTTAAGCTTATAATATAAATACTTAACTTAAATATTACAATCCATGCAATTTTTCTTTTTGTTTTAGAATGACTAGATTTGCAAGAGTGCAAGGTGTCGGCAAACCTTCGTTCAACAAAGTAGCCGAGGATTCGACTCCGTGGGAAGTGTTGAAGCAACCCATAGAGGAATGTTCGGATGAGGAGGAAGAAAGTAGGGACGAGAACCAGATTGAAACTAAAGTAGAGAATGCAGAAGAAACTATTCCTACTCCTGTTAATACCGTGTGGTGTGAGTTTGAAGAAAATCTTTCACTAAAAATGAAAGAGAGAGAGCGTATAAATGATAATTCAAACAAAGAGCAAGGTAAAAAGAAACAAAACAAAGCTCATGAGGACTTTGGGGATGGTATGAATTTGCAAAAAGAAAACCATAATCTTAGTGTAAATGATACAGAGGATACAGAGATTGATGATATAAAACAAAAAGAAAAAAAGAAAAAATTGTCTAAAATGGAAATTGATATTCACAAAGATACAGAAGAAGAAGGAAATGCTGCAGAAGAGCAGCAAAATGAACACACAGATGGAATGACACAATGTGACAATACAGAAGACAAATGTAAATCGTACAAAAGAAGAAAGCCAGATGAGGGTAATAAGACTGTGCTTGTCGATGGACAAGAAATTAAAATAGTAAGATTCGGTGGGTTCTATGTGAAAGAGGATGATGCAAACAGGCTAAAGGAAATGAAGAAAGAACTTCAAAACAAAAATTTACCAATGTCAAAGATACAATTTTTAATAAAAAAGGAAAGGCAAAAAGCTGAGAGGTCTTTGGCAAAAATGAAGAAGAAGTTGTGCTTCAATTGTCGCAAATATGGCCACAATTTATCCTCTTGTCCCACTCTCACATCCAGTGGGATATGTTACAAGTGTGGATCAACAGAACACTCGATGTTCCAGTGCAAGGCGCCCTGGGATGAACTCAAATTTGCTTCCTGCTTTATCTGCAAAGAGCAAGGCCATCTATCTAAGAACTGTCCAGATAATCCACGTGGCCTCTACCCGAATGGTGGTGGATGTAGGCTCTGTGGGGATGTGACCCATCTTAAACAGGACTGCCCTAAAAGCCTACAGAAAAATAGGAAATTTAATAAAGTTGTGTCTGTCGACACTTTAAAAAAAGGAAAGTTTAGTGTGGATGAAGATTATCAAGAAAATGCAAACCACACAAAATTTCATTCAAAAAATAATTATAGCCAGCCTAAACCTAAGAAAATTATCTTTAAATAATAATTTTGCAAGTATTTACATAATTTCACTGTTTTAATTTTTATACATATGTATTATAAATTTTATAATTTTTTTCTCATACCGATTAAAATATTTTTTGGAAATGTGGACAAGCACACTTTGAGCATATGTATATATTAATATATTAGAACTATTAAACAAAAAATGTGTCATCCTTCACTGAACAATATGTACCAATTTTTAGTACCATTAAATAAAAAAAGATATAAAACAAATTAAGATTAAATAAATCAGAATTGTATTATTTATTTAAATCATTTGTAGAAGACAAATTGAATGAATGGTTGTGTTTATTTACAAAAATTGAAAAATAAAACAGTACATAGCATATAACCACATATATTGTACGGATTATTCCTGCATGTGTTGACCAGTGAAAAACAATAAACAAAAACCTAGAAAAAGAAAACAGTATTATATACTTATTTATTGTGAATATAGAGGCAACACAATAATATTAAGTACGGGGTTAGTACATTAAAATAAATTAAAAAGTCCAATTTAAAAATAAAATTCATCTATCAAAAATTTGCAGTATTTGACTGCATGGGATGTACAGCTGTAAAGGGCTTACCAATTTCTTCCATTTAGCACATCAATAAATTCATACCTTCTCAATTTTATTTTATTGAGGTACATAACTTTGAATTGTGCGAGAATTGGACAGTCAGCAATGAACTGAAACATTTCATTACATAAAGAGCATCGCCAACTTCTGGCTGATCGGCTAACAAGAAAATTCAGATTTAGTAAGCCCCCCTCTACTTTTTATGAACTTTTGTATAAGATTAAGATAATTAGTTTCAGCTTGTTCTCTAAATTCGGGTCAAAAGGTTTTTACCATTCCCGAAATTGTGTGCTATGGCAAAAATTTTGAATGCATATTATTTTTTATTTTTAACAAAAGTTATTCAATTGATCCCCCACTCAAATTATGTCTTGCACAGCTCACATAAATCCTTATACCAGTATAAGTTTCTTATTTCTTTTGCTGGGATTCTTGGCAAACAGGACTCTTCAAGTGTTAGTACTTTTTTTAATGTACTCAGGATGTAAAGTGGTTCAAATCGAATCCAGTCTCAAGGTAAACAAGTAGTTAGAGTGAAAAATTTATTTATATAAAACAAAAAAATTAACTTTTCAAATTCTTGCAATTAGAAGAACCCCACCGCACAACCCCATAACATAAAATATATGCGGCTGCTCGAAAAATATATGACAACAGATAACATGATATCACGCTTTTCTATAAATCTCTCATGTATTGACATGAAACTTAACTTAGCAATATTTATATGGATTTTGTAAAACTTTCTGAGATATTTCAGTATCAAATATTTAAATAAATACTTCTAGTATTTTCTCTAAAAAGATGTAAGGAATTCATTCATGTTAAGCTTTGATAATAAATAAGGCAAACTAGTTTTATTGCACATCATGCGAGCCTATCAGAAAACGTTATTTTGATTGAATCATTTTAATTGTTTCATATGGATCCCTCAAGCAAAACCAGTTTTTTCTTGTTTTCAAAAAGTTTAATTTTATTTATGCTTACTCCGTGCATGACAAGCAAGGTGCAAGTTATTTCAAAGAAAGTTTTTAAGTTGTGCATAAACATATCATTTAAAATAAACATTTTAAAAATTTATTTTATGTATAATAGTTAAAAATTTTATAATAAAAAAGTACGCATATAAATATAATTTGTCTACAAAATTAAGTATGCTTTTACTTGATCATTCACAACTTATATATGACAGCTGGGAACTAGTTTTCTTAATAATTATATTTTAAAAAATGTTAACCAAAAACATATGTTTTCAGTTAAGTTGACTAACAAAAATGTTTCCTTTTAAATTTGCTGTTTGTATTAGAGGTAGTTGAAACATGTAAACTGGAGGAATCGCAGACCATATTGAATCGGGACTGACTTTTGGGTTTAGGATGGAGATGTGAAGGGGTTGAGATATGAGTAACCAAGGGTGTTGTGTCCCTCTCCGCCACGACTGCCAGGACCCCAACAAAGACCAAGCGTCAAAAGGGGGTGAAGGTGGTAACTCAGGTGGTGGTAGCGGCTCCGAAGTGAGAACATGCCCGAAACCATGGCCCAACAAGGTAATAATTTTGCAGTTGATACATTGTCAATTAAACATTGAAATATAATTACATCAAATGGATTTTTAGATGCCAGAAAAAAAAAATTCTTTTTAATTGCTAAAATCTGTGATAAAGATAGCACTTATTGTTAATTATACATTATAGATTTATAGCAGTAAGGTTTCATTTAAAACTATTAATGAAAAAATTCTGATATTTTCTTTCTTAAATTTATGCATTTTTATTTTATTGGGAGATTTCTGTATGGTGTCTAAAGGGGGGGGTAGAAATTTGGTCATTTCCAATCATTTTCATGTTTCAGAGTTATTGCAAATCTAGCACTGAACATATTGAAATGATGAGGACAAGTGACCAAAATTATAGGAAACGATCTAACAGTATATTTTATGATGTTTTAATATTTTTTTTTTATTTAACTGAAATTAAACAATTAAAGCTAACAACATCATTTGATAACATCAAAATTCACAAACGTATATGTTGTTCTTTCAGGTAGATTGTTTTTTATTTGATATATTTTAAATTTTAGCCTAATTTGAAAATTAAGAATATAGGGGTCTGTTTTCCATAGCTGTGGTTTTCTTAATATTCTTATTTTGTTATTTGGTATTTCAACAAAGCTATTTTTATAAATTGCTTTGACCATATCTATTGTGTAAGGGGGGGGGGGCTTAGCCTGGTGTGAAGTACACCGTGCATAAGGCAAATGTGAACTCTGATTGTTGTTCATTGTACAGACATTTTTACAAGATATACATGCCAGTGCCATCAACCACATCCCTCAAATGACCAGGTTTTCTTTGTAAACCATTTTCAAAGAAAAGTCCCTTTCGATTGTTTCATCATCTAATACCTTTTTCAAATTTACCAGACCAAAAGATTCCCTAAATGCCTTGTATGACACACAAGGTAAATGTATGTTTCATTGTAAGTGGCTCATTGCACCTTCCACAAATAAGGGAGGATCCTGGTACAATAAATGCCCATGTTTTAGTCATGTGTGGCGATTAAAGGACAGCCTCTTCTTCCCTTGATTTTCTAAGTGATGGCTTCCATTATTTTACATTGTTTTTTATATCATGTAACTTATTGTCCGAACTGTTTTCCCATCTTATAATGCCCACACCTTTGATATGTAAAACGAAAAATCCTCATACAGTATCTGCTTAATTTTTGTAGCATTTTTATATTGCTCTTTTTGCTGTTAAATTAGCACGTCCATCACCTGTGAATTGCAGTGATTACACACACAAAAGTTACTGTTATTTATACCAATTTGAAGGATTTAAAAGCATAAAATATGTCTACATTTCCAAATCGAGTGACACTTGAAGGATCATGCAGAACACAACAGTACTGCTGATTGCCTTAAAATCTGTACTTTTATCAGAACCAAGAACATTAAAAGCATTTTATTTTGAAATAATCTTTTATTTCAGTATAAAAACTTTGCAATATAAATTTGAACAAGTGAAGAGTTAGAAATGATAAATGGTGGAGTATGTTGTTCAATATTTATAAATTTATATATCCTGCTCACAGATAGTTGTTTACAATGATCCAGATTTCAAGCTTATAGCTCATCATCAGGTTAAAATATGGATTGTTGAAAACGACTAACTATGAGTAGAAACTATCTTTTTATAAAGAAGTGAAGAATTTGTCATACTGGATGTGCCTATACTCCGTTAATATATAACATGAGTGCAAAAGAGTAATATAACACAGGATTAAATATATATTATATAAAGAATCATATATGTATTTGTAGTACCAGTTGTCTATATTTCAAAATACAATGACAAAATTTGAACAGTATAATTGTAATTTAATGTATACAATTGTCAATATTGAAGGGTCTTTTTTGGTCTAATATTCAAATAGTTTGGAATCGCTTTTATTTAAATTTGCATTAACCAGAAAGTTTGTTGCACATTCAAATGTACATGTGCAAAATGTATTTTACAAAAGCGGGATTTAAATTTATTATCACCAATCAACTGAAAAGAACTTTCACTTGATGAAAGGACCTTGACTTTGAATCTTGACCGCTTTCCCTCCAACCAAAGAAATGGTATCTAGCCAAAACGGTTGCAGTTTTCAATTCAAACAATTTGCAAAAACACGTTTCAAACGGTTTTCGACGAGAAAACTTGGTAAAATAAAAAAGTTCCGTGTATTTTCCGTGCTTCCCAGAATAGAAAAGACCGATGAAAATTGGCAAAGCTAGATTGATTCTGGCCGGCCATGTGCACCGGTGAGCTGTGGTTTTTCATCTCCTTTGGGTTAAGCCAAATCTCACTTTTCAGAGAACGCCATTGACTCCGGCCTCGTGTTCTTCGTCAATCCGACTGATATTTAGCCATAATCCGGACTTTTCTATTTCATAACTTATTTAATTAATTAACGAAGTAAGTCGACTTTATTCTTCGAATAATTTAAGTAGCTATTAAATAGATACCTCGTGTGGTCCATACATAGATGTTAAATTAGCTGACCTAATTTGCACATACTTTTAGCATGAAATTCAAGCGTTTTGACATTTTTTAAAAGATAATTTCTTTTGTGATTATTCTTATCCTTCGATTTGGCCAAGAATTGATCTTGTCCGATGATTTATTTGATTGGACGATTCATCGTCGCATTGAACGCAATGACTGTGACTGTATAGTTCAAGTTATCATTTAGTTTCTGCTCTTGTGAATAAACTTTTTCTTAGAAAATTTCAAAGGTTTTGTATCTGCACGCCTGTAATCTATAAATTATGTCGAATCTGGATACAACAGAACATTTTTTTGGTAGAAAGCACAGAATGAGGTTTTATTTTACTATTCAAAAAATGGTCACGACTCCAAGTTAATCATACAAAAACTATTTTTTGTTATTTATGCATTTTATTTTTCTTGTTTTAGGGGACTATAGTAGCCAAGTGGTTAGCATGATAGATTCGACTCGTAGATCCTGTTGTCGTGGGTTCAATTCCCACCTTTACTCCTGGCCTTTTCTTTTTTTTTTTTCACAATATCCTTCCCCAAAGAAAGCAATGCATTGTCAAATAATGTACACACATCTTGCATTGCTAATGTGCTATGTTCACAAGGCCATTAAAAAAAGTCTTGTTTCATAGCCTTGATAGGGGGCCATGGTAGCTGAGTATTTAAGGCGTTAGTCTCTCGGCTAGTAGATCTCGTAGTCGTGGGTTCGATCCCCACCGTCCCCTCTGGACTTATTCTGACGCCCAAGGGGACCGGTGGCTGCAATTGAAAGAAATTGACACGCACTCATCAATGGAAGGGGCGGGATCAAATCTCAGCGATCCTGAACTTCCTCTTCATTACTGAAAGGGGTCCCAACCCCCTTCAAACCCTTCAAAAATAAGTTTCTTCAATGGAAGAACACCGGGGCTCAAATTCACAAGCGTGTTGCAAGCCTCCAAAAATGGAGCCAGGGATAAAGTAAAATAAGCTGTACAGCTGCAGTGCTCAGGGGAACTACTCCAGTTCCTGGTATCCATTGTAAAAAAAAAAAAGCCCCTTGATAAATGTTACAAACATTAAAAAAATAATATACATTCTCAGAGGGTCTGTAATAAATTAATAAATCTGTGATAATGAAGAAACCACGGTAAAAAAACCTCTTGTCACATGCCTCATTAGAGCTGATACTGGGAGTCTGTGAACTGATGCTGAATCAGCATTGAGTCACTTATTGGGTTCGTCTTCTCTTATGATTTGTTCAACTACTCAAATGAGTTTCAGATTTGCGCCATCTTCAGTGAGGTTATGAGTTCTTGAGTTTGACAAACTTGCGAGTGAAGACAGACCCAATAAGTGACAAAGTGCTGGTTTAACATGATATCAATTCATATTACTTGAAAGCTTTTGTAGAGACAAAACTTAGTTAAATGTATATTTGAATTGACCTGAGTTAAAAATATAATAATCACAATTGAAATGTGTTCTGCAAAAACTGACATGGAAAGTTAGGGATTGACTAATCTATACTTCATCAAAGTTAGAATTAGAATAAGTAAGGTTTTACTAATGAAAATTTTACCGATGAAGTTGTTCGTTCATAAAAGATAATGATTTTAAGACAATAAAACATAATTACTTGAAACAGCTTTTCCATTTTGACTTTTTAGTTTGAAATCGTTGAAGATTCAATAAAAAAAAATTTTTTTCTGAAATTGTTTTAGGTTTTTATTTTTTACACAACTAATAATTAAAATTTTTATAACTAAACTTTAGTGCCCTCATATAATAACCTGGATGTTCGTATATCATTGCTGAAATTTATGTTTTAGCTAATTATGTCTCCTCCGTTCTATGCCGATTTGGGGAAGAATGCAAGGGATGTGTTTGGGAAAGGTTATCACTTCGGCCTTCTGAAACTAGATGTTAAAACCAAGTCGAACACCGGTGTTGAATTCAGCACTGGTGGTGTACAGAACTTGGAGACCAAGAATGTTGTCGGAAACCTGGAAACAAAATACAAATTTAAAGAATATGGTAAATCTTTTTTCTCTAATTCATTTATCAGGATGATTAACATGTTAACTGCGGTTGCTCACTGCATGTTGAAATCTTATAATTTCTTGTTGTGAGCATCAACATAATCATTTTATTTTGAACCGTTAAATCAATTCAGCACAGGGTAGCAATGTAGGCTGAACAGGACCTCGGTCAACATGTTAAGAATATTGAAAATTAATCAGTAGGTGGTCACTTTAAGTATGTTATACACCTCATTGCTATTAAAAATTTATTTTAATGCCATTAAACCAGTTAGAATGGGATAGAAAGCTAGACAATCCGCATATGATCTTATTTTGTATTGTAGGAGTAACATTTACGGAAAAGTGGAACACTGAAAATGTTCTTGCAACAGAAATTGCTTTGTCTGATTTCTGTGAAGGCGCCAAGGTATCATGTGATACATCATTTGTTCCGCATAAAGGGTATTTTGACATAAATTACATGTTAAACCAAAAATAAATGCTAATGGTTTTTGTTCTAATTGCAGAGATAAGACACTCAGACTAAAGGCTGAATTCAGAAATGACGCATGTGCACTCAATCTAGACACCGACTTTAAACCAGGTGGCCCGGTCATCAAAGGCGGTGCTGTTCTTGGTTATGGAGGTGAGTCTTTTATTAATTTTCAAATAACTCTCTTTAATGAGTTTGTGTTTCAGGTTGGTTGTGTGGTTATCAGACAGCATTTGACACTGCCAAGACTAAGCTGACAGAAAACAAATTTTCCATGGGATTCTGTACAAAAGACTTTATTTTGAACACTAGTATGTAAGTATACATCACATATATTTACAGTATTGTACCCTGTTACTTTTAAATTAAGTATTCATAAATATTGATTGATTTTCCTTATTGATGTACGATTAATGATTCTTATTCTATTAATAAGTAATATTAATATAAAATTTAAAAAGAAAAATATGTTGTGATTGATATCAGCCTTAATATTATTATTATAAGATAGGCAAATTCGAAAGAAAGAAAAACTGTCGTATGTAGAATGGATGGACAAAAGATATATAAGGGGAGATATAGATGAATATATTCGAAAGCTTGTTTAAGGAACCGAGTTTTTCTTCCTTTTAAATTTGCCTTATCCCTGATTTTTTAATAGCAAAACATCATGTACACCTCAATTCAATTGTCTTAATAATGTGACATTTAATTTGTATAGAAATGATGGACGCGTATTTGGAGGCTCAGTGTTCCACAAGGTCAGCAACAAGCTCGAGACAGCTGTGAACATTTCATGGGCTTCTGACAGCAATGTGACAGACTTGGGTATTGGATGCAAGTACAACCTCGACCCTGATGCGGCCCTCAGACTCAAAGTCAACAATCAATCACTTATCGGCCTTGGCTATTCGCAAAAGCTTAGAGATGGTAAGCACCTCTTATCTTAGTCAATTTGAACAGAGCAGTAATTTAAATTAGTACAAGACAATTGATACAAATTGGAGTTTTTCATCCTATCGTAAAGTAATCCTGTATTTTTGTAATATTATTAATTTAACTTAGCATTTTAATGATGCTAAAAACTTTGAATCGTGACTTATTTTTGTACTTGCACTATTAGCAGCCAAACTTTTGAATTGGAAACAAGATAGTTTCTTACCCTTTACCGTACTGATTTGCATTCGCTTTGAATTGCTCTTACTCCTTTTGGGGTGCACCAGTTCCATTCAAATTTGACAGTGCATTTCTTACATATTATGGTTTTCAATGGGAGTAAGTAAATGGAAGTAGAAAACTAATGAAAGTTGTATTTACATGAAAACTGATGTTTTACAAAAAGTATTCGTTATGTGTTTTAAAATATAATTAAATAAAAGTAAGTGATTACTAATTTATTACAAGTTTACAAGTGTTAACTCTATACGTGTATGGTATGTATACACTGGGAACAGAGTTGGAAAAAAAATATTGACAATATATATTTATAAAAGAGTAGGTTTATAACCCGGCGTTGCCCAAGTGGATAATAAAAAGGGTTATTTAACACATTATTTTGAATATACATATTGTAATTGCCAGATAGGATTATTTATTAAATGAACACGATTGAATGTTTGATATCAATGATTGTATTTAGTTATATTAGATATTTACATAGGCAATATTATTTTTGTTTTGGATTACAGTGAATTAAATTGAAATTACTGTTGTATACAGTGTTAAATTCCTTACAGTGCTTTTGTGTACAATGTTTTTGGTGATTCCATTTGGCACATATACACATGTTTGTTGTGTCGTTGTTTTGGTGGTATTTTAAACAACAGCAAAATTCAATTGTATAACAGAGAGTCAAAAAGTTCATACGTAATTGTTATGTTGTTCATTTTGATCACAATAGGGCAAGGATAGTCTTAACTTTCTAATTCTTACTCGACGTCTTCATTTTGTGCTTCGTGATGTGATGATTTATAGCATATATATTTTGTTCATTTCGTTATGCCGTTTCTTCATCTGTTTTATTTTGTCTTTCACCTGAAATTCTCTTGGCAATATTTCTGTAACGACCATATTTTGTCGTTTTTGTTGCTTTTTAAATAAAACAAAATGCAATTCCAACAGCAATTGTACAACAGCAGTGTCAAAATGACAGAATGTAATATTAAAAAACATAATTCATAATGTGGGGTGATTAATGACTGTTAATCGATAATTATTCAGAAATCGTGAGATGCGGTCTGGTGTGATGTAGGTTTCAGAAAAAATTTTCTTTATCATGCCAATGTTTTGATCTTTATTGAGATCATCTTCAGGGCCTGGGATTTACAAACATTGTTTACATTTAATAAATACATGTAGGATGTGGAAAAAAGTGAATTTATACAATGCAAAATATATTTTTTTATATTCAATCAAATCGTATATTTTGCATTGTATAAATTCACTTTTTTCCACATCTTACATGTATTTGTTAAATGTAAACAGTGTTTGTAAATCCCAGGCCCTGAAGATGATCTCAATAAATATCGAAACGTTGGCATGATAAAGAAAATTTTTTCTGAAACCTACATCACACCAGACCGCATCTCACGATTTCTGAATAACTAATTATTCATAATTCAGTAAAATCATTCAATTAATTACAAAACATTGAAAAACTCATTATTACGGAACTTCGTAACTTCACATTTTATAACATGCAGAATATTTTCACTAATTTCGTGGTCTGCTTGACCAATTAATACATTGCAATTAATTAAGGTTTTTAGTTGGGATGAAAAAAGTTAATGGCACGAGCGGGATTTCGAAGGAGGGAAAACTCATAAGGTGGGGTTGAGATAGGAAGTTGATGTCCGAGTGGATCGAGGTCATGATAGCTCAAGTGGTAGAGCAGCGTCGTATCTAGCCGAAGATGGTGGGTTCGAATCCCGCTCATGCCATTAACTTTTTCATCTCAACTAAAAATATTAATTGTAATTCAGAATATTTATAAATCCAATTGGCAAAATAACAGCATTACTTATCTCATTTAATTTTAACTGAGAGAGTTTAGTAAAGTAATGTTTAATAATATTTTATATAATTTATAATTGCTTATGTATACAAACGTGTAAAACAAAATTGACCTTTGTAGTAATCTTTGCACACTAAATAGACATTCACTTTTCTCAATTCAGTTGGTTTGGCTGAGTAGGACAATTGTCGGTAAGGCCACATGCCGATGGTTTGTAGTCCTACCTACACTGCTGCTGACGATTGTAGTGTCAGCGTATTTGTTTGTTTATTTTATTTTTATTTATTTTTTTAAATATTTATATGCTCATTTTATATCCTCTAAACCCACCCAGCACTAATAAAACAAAATGTGAAAGTTTCATTGAAATTGGTTCAGTAGTTTTCGTTTTTATCATTAACACATAAGAACATTCACTTTTATACATACAGATAAACATACAAAAATAAGAGCAACAAAAATGATTTGGTTGAAATTTTGCAAAAGTTGAAGAAAGAGGCCAGATTGTGACGAGAAGGGGAGAAATGAGTGTTTGTTGATTATGAGATAACAGGGAAAGGGGTGGGAGGTGTTCATTTGATGCCGAGGTGTCTGCTACACATTGGATACAAATTCAACTCAGTAGAAGCTACGTGTCTAGCTAGAACTCTTAAAACGGGGGGGGGGGGAAACAACGAGATAAACTCAGTCCTGAAAAGGTTAACAAAGGTCAAGCAAAACCATTTTTATTATCGATCAATTATTGAATATTGCTACATATTTTCAAAATGGTTTTATAAAAATTATTGCATCTTTGATTTTAAACTTACGAACAACTAATTATATTTCTTATCTAAGGTAGCGGTGTATTGAGCTGAAGGTAGTGGGTTTGAATCACGCTCGTTAAACTAATTTTTCATCTCAATCAAGATATTAGATAAAAAGTATAATTAACTGAAATAATTAATATAGTCAATTATGACTTTCAAACTTAAAGATGAATCTGTAAGTTAAAATGTACCTTGTTTCATAAATATACTGTGGTAATCCTGAAATCGATTCCTATTGGTTGTTCTACCATTTGCAATTAAACTTAGATCCGAAAATAAATTGCAGAAAGCCTAAATATATTTGTCTGATTCATTAAGATTTAAATAGGTACATATATCATTGTCAGTTCATAAAAGAAAAATCCATCATTGTTATGTTCTAATTTTCGTAAAACAATATTTTTGTTGCTAATTTTAAAATTTTAAAAATTTTAACAGTTTTAATTTTGTTTTAATTGTAACAGTTTTAATTAATTTTTAACAGTTTAATTTTGTTTTACCACAATCTACCATCAATATTTTTGTATTTCTTTTCTAGGTGTGACTATTTCTCTCTCAACACAGATCAATGGCAAGAACTTCAAAGAAGGAGGACATAATGTTGGGTTGTGCCTTGAGCTTGAGGCATAGATACCGCACGTTTGTGGTCATTTCAATGGACAACCTTTGATGTTTCGGAGTGAGGAGAATGGAGATGCAGAGAATTTATAAACAAGAAAGCAGAGATTGTTGTAGATTTGTCAGTTCATATGTCATTATCCTCAAGATGACCCACAAATAAATAGTATAAACTTAGTATATTATCAAATTATCAGAGAAATGTTTATCCCTCTTAACTAATAAGTGTTGTCCTGTTTTTGTTTTCTTTAATTTAAAATATATTTGTTTGCGAGGGGATATGATGGTGTTGAATTATGATGACCTTTTCAATTTAAAATATATAGTTTTGTTTTTAGCATTTCACTGTATATGGTTATATTAGGTGTTCTTTCCTAGAAATAATTATTCTATAAATTATAACTACACAAAAAATATTGTATAATACAGAATCAGAATAGTGTTCTGCATAGAGTTATTAATTATGAGAAAGCTTACAGATAAAAAAAATATGTTAAGAGGAGAGTGATTAATACTACTTTTCCTTGCACATTTTTGCTCTCCTGTCCCACACCTTTTCATTCTCCTTTTTTTTACCATCTGTAAAACAACAGAAAGTGTAATTCAATTACAAATATTAAAGCCTATTTGCCTGTTTTGTGTTAATTAAAAGTAAACCTTGGCTTATCATGAAATTTAAAATTTGAGTCATGATTACATTACCTTTAAAACCCGAAAAGGGTGATTGAGTTTTAACTGAATTATTATACAACGTAAATTTTTTTTTTGCTTTTTATAGATTATAGTGGCATCTAGCAGATTTTTTGGTGCACATCTCTGTTTGGTCTTTTATCGCACGAGAACAAATTTTCTTGTGTTTTACACCTAATTTCTGTTTCTCCTGCTGTTACAATTTTTATAAATGGTAACCAACTCACTTTTCTTTATGCTATTGTTAAGCCTCTCTGTATTCAGGGCCTAGTCAATTGTGGATAAATAACAAATCACAGAAATAATATAAAAACATGATAGTCTGGTTAGCATTCACATCTACCCAAGGCTGAGCATATCATTTGGGTTGTTTATTTCTTTGTTTGCAGTCTTTTATTAAATTCTCTACTGTAATAAGTTCCCTATACGACGTATCCTTAGTAGAAGGTTTTAATTGTCATGAAATAAATTTTTGTTGACCTATTTGCCATAGACACACCTTGTCTAAAATGCAAAATTCATAAAAATATTTCTTTCTTAGAAATAAGCAAAAATAATAAGTGCTTATTTCATGTACTTTTTGTAGATGGTTCTACTCAAAGAACTTCTTTATTCTATCTCAATTATTTCCACTTATTCATGTCAATTTTATTTTATTGTGCAACTTCTCAAGCACAAGTTTTGGCAAATTTTATCAATGAACTACGCCAAAAGCGCCCTGTTAATCGATTATTTAAGAAAATAGTTACGAAGTATTTCTTATGATACCATGGACAATTTTATCACTAAAATTTACTATCCATTGAAATGATCAATGAGTTGGTAATTGGTTGAAAAAATGAGAGAATGTAAAAGGTTTTTACAAATAATTAGGATGGTTGCTCCAAACTAAAAAGCATTTTTACCTTTAAACTCAGTGTAAAAAATACACATTGTTGAATATTTTGTCATTTGTGAAATATTGGCTCATATTTATCGACTGTTATTCTTGAGAGTTAGTGAAAAACTTTGGGGGGTCCATGAGAAACGATAAAAAATAAAACGTATCGGGATTTTTCACAAAAATAAAATAAAAAATATTTTAAGTTAAAAGTAAAAAAAAAAATTATACATATTTATATAGGTATAGATTAAGGAGAGAGAGGATTATGAAAAATAGCATCGATTTGAGGGTATGATCTGAGGGTTTTGGGAATTAGTTCCAAATTCATTGGCTATTAAACGTCACTCTATTAATTGGGCTTTTTTTTATGTAATTGAATTTATGGGAAGAGTTGAAAAAGTTTTTGATTTCTGAGGCATTACTTAGAAACATTAAACATTTAATAAGGTCAAGTTTACATTAGAACAATCAGTGTGGATTATTCTATTTTTCAGTTAAAGAGATGAAATATTACATTATTAATTTAAATGCAGCCGCTGAATTTCTTTTGTATGCTTTATTGTACAATCAGAGCAAAGAAGAGTATTCTAGTTTCTAACATAGGAACAGCATCCAGAAGGCAAATTTGTTTTAATGGGGGAGGAAGTAAATTGACAACATTTTATTTTTCAAATATATTTAAGATACAGATCAGATGAAAAATACAACTCAAAATTAAGGAAAAATATTCCGTATTGACAAGTTTATACATAGAATATACCAAAACATCCCCTTTTAAAAATTTATGTTTTATTTGTATCAACATTGTAATTCAGTTTTCTCTAAATTCAATGTACCATCTGTTCATCAATCACTTTCTGAATCCACAAAGGCTGTGTGTTGGAGATTTTCTCTATTATTTGGTTGACTTGGTAGCAAAGTGATTGAATCTGTTTGTCCCAAGCGGGTAGAACTTCCCGTGCTACAAAAATTCAAATGAAAATACGTTTCATATAATTGACACAATAAATTAACAAACTTACTTTCAAAATTAACTATTGAATCTATCTGATCGATGAAACCATTCATCCTGCCCTCGGTGATCATCTGACTAGCAATTTTTTCAGCCTTAGTCGGTGTAATTTCTAAGAGGGCGCCAAGCTCCTCAAACGTAATATTATTATAAAGTTTGCTAGCACTGAGAAGGTTGTGCTCTATGACTGCTCTATCAAGTATGGTCGATCCTAAACAAGACTTTAATTACTTCCAATTGTCGATTGTAATGTACAACAGGCAAGTTATAAATACTACCATCGCAAGTATGCGCTTCTTGGTGCGGTTGTAGAAGAGATTCAAATTCCTTCAGTTCGCTCCTTCTGATTATCCTATCCAAATACATCTTTTCGAGAATGTTGTAAGCAGGAAGCTGTTGGCATCGTTCGTCTTTAAACAATGTCGCTAGCATTCGACTTCTCTGTTGGCCTAATTCAAACGATTCAAACTTCCATTGACACTTTTTATCGTTTATAAATTACCTGCTGAAGCTAGAACTGTGCAGATAAGAGCACTTCTTAAAGCAGTCATTCTTTCATCTTCATGGATGATGGTGCGGTAAGAAAGTTCGTTATATCTCTGAGCCGCTTCGATAAATTTTCTTCTATAATCAAGCACACGGGCATAACAAACTTTGTAGTAAATCTGTAGTTGCTCGTTTTTTGATTCAGCCTTAAACAGACAATTAATGAATCTGAATAAAATTATGAATAATTGTTTTAAACAAAAATATGTTTAGTTACAACAAGGAATTGTACTTAATCTTGTCTGTACACTTTTTGGCAGAATCATTGTTTCCACACTAAACAATGATTTATTTTAAATTAAAACAAAACAACGACTGATCGTACTTGTAACAATGAAGCTCTATTGATATAAGCTTCTGCTTGAACCGGGTCATAGTCTTCAAGATACAAACGTGCAATTTTCATGTAAGTTTCCAGCTTGTAATCAACTGAATATTGTCTGAAAAAAAAGAAAGGGAAATGATTGTATTGTTTGAATAGGATTTGTAATTATTTGAAACTTACTTCTGGCCAGTTTCAAGAGGAATGCCAACAAGAACATTAGCAGCCTCTTTCCAGTTCTGCTCACGTTCATAGATGCTGGCAAGGTGCTGCCTAATGCTCGCCACCTGTTCCTCAAAAGAAATCACTCTTGGCTGTACCTAAAAAAAAGAAAAAAAGCATTATACCCATTTTAAAAAAACACATTCAGACAATATTTTAAACAAAACCTTGTCAAGTATAAAATGAGAAATAGTTTTGGAAGAGTCCTCCCGAAGCACAAGCAAGTGGCCGGTTATGTCCGTCAGTACTTGTCTGGATATGACAAGGCTGACATTTTCATTTACAACTGAAATTAATTCAAACAATAACAGAATGTCAGAATCCAAGAGAAATTAAGAAATAACAACATACTTGCTTCTATAAAGACTTTTAAAGGTTCTTCAATAGCATCATGTGGAGTTGCAAGAATATTTTCCAATATTGCCCTGTATCTGAAAATCGAATACACTTTTAAAGATTGTGACACATACTAGAGTACTATTACCTTGATTTTTTTTATAGCAAATTGAACACAAAACGGATGTAGACTTACATTTATTATTTATACATTCATTTATTTGTACACCTCCAACAGTCCTTAATACTGGAGGATAATATGTGAGGATTGTTGTAACAGTGTAATAAAAATTATACAGAAAGAAAAAATCAGAAAAACAGGAGAAAAAACAATCCTCAGAAATAAAAATAATTGATTCCTGCTTTTATTTATCATAGAAGGTAGTAGTTTGATACTTCATTCTTAATGTGCACGGAGAATGGTGCAAACTCTTTTTTCATACCATGTCATTAATTTGTTGTAGTTTTTCTCCCATTCATTTATATCAGTGGCTCCCAAAGTGGTTCCCGTTATCATTCAGGGGGTCCATGAAAAATTAAAATCGATTTGGGGGTCTCTGAACAACGTCAGGGGGGTCCGCACAAGGTTCCAATACAATATAAATAATAATATAAAATAATATAATATAAAACAGAAGTACGTTGGTTATCTAAAAGTGTACAATACAATTTAATTAACTCAAAAAATGACATAGCCTATATACCTGATTTATTTGCCAAATTTAATGAAACTAATTTGTAACTACAAGGTGACCAATTAAATGTAATCAAAACTAAAAGCGTAACATCTGCATTTGCTCCAAAACTTTTTCTTTGGAAGTTGTTCTACAAACAAAACATGGGAAGAGGAGAATGCTCTGTTTCCAAATCTTTCAAAATTGCAAATTAGAGATGAAGATTTGCTTGCTTAAATGCTTAACTTAAACCAATGTTTGGACAAGGATACCACAAATTTGGGTTACAAAAACAGATCCCAATTTTATTTTATTGGGCCGTGCCTGCATTATGGGTTATTGTACAGAAATTGTCGACTGCTTTCCAGTCTTCCTATTTGGTAGAACGTGGATTTAGTGCCATCCCTAACCAGTGCCGCTATGAACCTCATCACAAAAGAAAGAAACTGATTAGAAATTATACACTCATAACATCTCATCACGTTCAACCGTCATTAATTTTTTTAAATATTTTATTTTAAATAAAAGTAATTAATATTATCATTTATATATTTTATATTTCAAAAATACTTCAACAAAACTTTTTTTTTTAATTTGTAATTTTTATATTATGCATTTACGTGGATTTTCACTTGGGGGTCTGTGGGCAATTTTTGACTATAAAAAGGGGTCCATGGGTCTAAAAAGCTTGGGATGCACTGATTTATATCATCATACAGGGTGCCAAATAACAAGTGTCACCCCGATTTTGTGGACTATTCACTCGAAAAAAAATTGAAACATTTTTTTAAGGACAAGTTTTACTGTCAAACATTAAAATAGTTTTTTGAAAACTTTATTTTTAGTTCAAATATATTTTTATTTCGTTTCATATGAATCAGTTAATGAATCAAATCAGCCTGGTTTATACCTCTTAAGTTCATGGACTATTATTTTAGGGTTATTTAGAAAATAAAGTTTGTGAAATTTATTTATAATATAAGCCATACAGGCAAGGCACAAAAAAGAAGTTATAAGCTTACAAAACATAATAACAAGTATAAGCTAAAATAAATAATATCAAAGTAACAAAACAAATAAAATAATATGATAAAAACAAAAGACTAGAATGTTAAGAATTCATCATAGAAAAATAGGTAAGAATGTTAAGCACCTTCTTTTTAAAAGTACATAAAGAGTCTGAGGGGGAGGGGGTAAAACAGGAATTGAGTTTATCAGGGAGGCATGAGAGGCTAAGCGTGTAATGCCATGCTTGATTGGTGCAGTGGTGCTCCAGAAAAAAGTTGGAGCTCCCTCTCAAAAGATGTTGAGGAACTGCAGGTCAAGCCTGGGGAGAATCTCCACAGAGATCTGAGAATCGAGAACTTTCCATACGAACATAAGACAGCCTATACTTAATTAACTATGTTTGGTTTTTGGTAGTTTTGGAATGTTTGTATTAATCAAAATTCAATTCAGACTATACTAGGAGTGTCCAAACAATAATGCACCTTTTTTTCAAGTAAATGTGATGCATTATTCTCCTAGATGACTGACAAAAACTTAACACCACAGAAAGACAAGGTCACCAATGGATTTAATAATTATTTTATTCAATTGTACACATAATCAGGAATTTTAAGTTTTTTTTATTTTTTTAAAGCAAATTTACCCATATATCCCCAAAGCCCCTTGTACTAATCTAGGTCTTTAGCATTTTTTGTGATGAAGTCAACTCTTGTTAATTCGAAACTTTATAATTTGAATTTCTTGATACTATTAACCCCTCAGCAGGTCCCTTCTGTAATTATAAAAAATTCTGTGTATTTTGATACACTCGTGAATACAAAATATTTTTCAAAATAGGGGAGAAAAATCATGCTATTAATCGAAATGGACCCACTTTCCATCTTTATAATTTGCACTTTTTCTTTATTATATTCCTCTAAATGTCCATGTATTGTTTACTTCCATACAGCCTATAGTTTCTACGAATTTTCTCTAGTTTGTTATGCTCTGCCAATAATTTGTTCAATAGTATTTATGGTTATAATGTCTATTTTGATCTGGGTTTTGGCAATGTGTTCTCAGCGCTGATCACTTCGGAAAATCATTATATATGTACAATTTAAGTAATAACTTGGAAAAATGTATATCAAGTCTTTACAATTTATCTTCTTTCATCTTGATAATTCAGACATTCTGATAATTCAAATTATTTTTGTGATCCCTTGGGTTTCAAATTATCGAGAGTTGACTGTATTTTTATTTGTACTATTTGCTAATTGTATTTAAACAATTTATACTTAACTAACTTAATAATGTGACACTTTTACTAAGGTGGTCCTGATTGAATTACATGTTCATCACTATGCAGACTGCACGGAGAAATCTGACAAATTGCAATAAAACCATTCACTAATGTTTCTCACAAGATTTGAAGGCGAGGAATTAACTATTCCATTCTGTTTTGTCAGTAGATTTTGGTATAACTTTTCAGTTATGGTTTTTATTGTGTTTGGTTTCTTGTGGAGCTTTTTATTTCTTATAAAACAGACAACAATTATATCAAGTGGATACACAGACAGTTACCAAACTGGGTAATTGTGGGTTATTCTGCATAGGATTGAACAGTATTAATGAACACATTTTCTAAGGGAGGATTCCCCGTTAACAGTGATAGAAGCATTGTATTGATTTTTACCTAGTAGATAATATAAACGATCCTGATGTGGTGAACGGTTCAATAAAACATACTACATATTTCAAACATTTGCAAACCCAGTTTATATCTATACTATTTATGCTCTTTGTCAAGTCTGTTATGTATCGAGGAAAAAGCCATTGTTGCCACCGTAAAGGTTTTCCATGGGGGAAGTCTCAATGATTAACTGAAGTAAATGCAGTACTTTCTGGCAAAACATCCATTATTCATACTCTTCTTTTTTGCATTACTTTTCAAACTTCTCCCTCTTTAGAGATGAAGCAGCCACTGAAAGGTGAAACGCTGAGTTTGTTGTCACTGATTGAAGGAAAAAATGAACAAACGAAGAAAAACTGAACTATTACTACATACGCTTAGTTCAGTCACCAATCAGTTTATTTTTATGACATTGAATTGCATAAACTGAGCATTGGGGTGTTTAAAACACAGTGAACAATCTAGGTTCTAAAGTCAGGCTAAACAGACAGTTTTATATTAAATTAGTTTAATTTTGGTCTTCATTGAATTGCATTTAAGGCTGGCCCAAAAAATCATTCGCACTGCTGTTGTGTACAGTACATAAGTGAGTGTTTTGTAAGAGAAACAGGCTGCAACGCAATAAAGTGAATAACCTAATAAATCTTACAATGGCTGTTTTAGAATTGATGGAAAAAGAAAGTTTTGTGATAAAGGAAAAACCTGTGCATGCGAATGTGGATTAATACTAAGAGCTATGGGCACAACTCTCCTGAAAAAATAAAACAATCTAGTTGACTTGACTAAATCCATTTACTAAATTACTCGACAAAAATTTTATTGTTCGGATGTATTTAGCTTCTAAATTACTCTCCACTCAAATAAAAGTCTAGCGTAGTTCAAACCACGTTTTCTTCTTTTTAAAAAAAAAATGTTTTGTAAAAGATGGTTCTATTCACAGATTTGTCATTTCACTCACAACAATCCGAATTTGAAGCATTTAACGGACACAGGTTGGTGGTGTTACCAACACATCTCTCAACATGAAATGTAAGAGAACTTAATTCTTACGATTCATGTCAAGAGATGCGTTTATAACTCCATCAACCTAATCATGAGCGCTTAATGCTTCAAATTTGGATCGTTGTGAGTGAAATGACCAATCTGTGAGTAGAACCGTCATTTACAAAAAAAGTAAATCTACATACTCATCCCACCTTCACGTTTTTTAGTCCAAACAGCCTTTAGTCTACAAGTTTTCTCCTGTTTTTAAAACTTCTAGCCTGCGAGGAAAAGGCTATCAGATAGAAATAATTGAGGTGGGGAGAGTGCGTTTGCTTTTGTGTAATATCCATTATTCCAATAAATAATTTTTTATTTTAATATTTTAAGAATATTTTAATTTAAAAGCTTTCCCCTTGTTCCGACTTCCCAAGATACTGACTTTACCGACACCCATCACTCCCACCATTGCTAAATCCACTCCTAGACCTCCTACCAGGGTATATAATAGGAATGATTGTAATACTTGATGAGTCTGTTTCCCGTAAGCCCTCTACTCCTGTATAACTTTTAATAGAAGTTAATTTTTCCTCTGCCCGTGTAGTTCTGCTTTTACTCCATTTCTCCACCCCATAATCCTGATGTTGGTAAAGATCAGCTCTACTTACAAAGATGTTAGTAAGTATTCAGCTTTTCAGCATTTATTGCTAACAACTTTGCGAACAGAACCATCTTTTACAGAAAGTGAAAAAAAAAGCTGTTTGATTTAAGAAAATTTAAGCATTTACGTTTTTCTGTAGGTCTGCAGAGTGATAATACTGAAGATTAGTCGTTTCGAATCATCATTTCTATTTGCCTTTTCAAAATGTTTTGGTACGTCAGGCGCATTTACTCTATTATTAAAGCAAATCCACCAAGACTACAAAACGCGTTCGACAGACCAAAACGTTTTTTTACTTTTAAGACATACAGCAATCGTACGAAACAAAACGAACCGGACAAACGATCAACATTAGTGTCAAGTAGAAAAAAAGTATCTTTCGTCAATCGACCACCTTGTAACTGTTCAGTGTTAAAGTATTCTACGTCTACTCCGTAAATGGTAGAAACATACTTTTCGGCTTGGTCTTTGTGCGAGCCTCCTGATGTGATGAGTACCATGAGCTGCTGGCGGAGGGAATTGGTCACGCTCGCCGGATTCGACATCTTACGATGAGATCCAAGCTCGTGAACACTTTACAAGATTTATATTCGGCCAAAACGGGAAAATTGTAATCAGAATAGATTGTTGACGGCCGAAAGGTTATAACTTATAAGGGCGCAGGTTACACTGTCACTGTCATGTTGATTTTTTATTTTTAAGACCGATATCTGGCTTAATTTCTATCGACTCTTTAGAAAAAATACATTTAAAAGACAGTCTTTCTCTAAAATATATTTTTATTATTGATGCCTGTCTAACGAATATATTAGGGTAAAAATCTGCTAGTGGTGTTGCACATTTCCCGCTTAGTTTTGGCGGGTTTCACTCATCCATCTTGTTAAAAGGTCTCCTTCAAAATAAAAGCCAGTTTTCAAACCGAGTCGGCTAACATTTTGCCTCAATTTATCCTTTGAACGTGAAATACCGGTAAGCCGAGTCGCATTTCGTTCTTTTTTTTTTTAATGAATGTTTCTATTTTATTTAGTACTTCAGGTGAGTTATACGAATGGTTTGTATTGTCAGAGTCGATAAGCAAAGTATGAACTTATAAGCGATTTGAAAATTTCATCTTTGAAGAGGCCTGAAATTATTGTTGACGTGTTTACTAGTTGAGGGAATTGTCGTTTTCCTTTTTGTTCTATTATGTGGATTGGGAACGGGTCTTTCTGGGCTCGTGCGTCTGTGAAACAAAGAACAAAAAGACCGACCACTTTGAGCTCGCAGAAATAACAGGATCATTGGATTCCGATCAACTACAACGCGACTGTGCGACGAACCTTTAATTCTCTAACGGCATCGCTCTGCCTGGTTGCACGGTGCAACGCAATTGGGAAAAAAATTACGTTCTTACGGTTTATGGTTTAGGTCGTTTTTGGACAATTTAATTAATTAATTGTTTGTTCTACTTGGTGAATTTTTTGAAGTCATTTTCCATTGTAGGATTCCTCTCCTTCAATTATGAATTTTCAACTGAATAAAACTTAATAACTAAGACTCCTTCCAATAATAATAATTATTTAAAATAATAATTATATCCAATAATAATTATTATTCAAAATAATAATTATACCCAATAATAATTATTATTCAAAATAATAATTATATCCAATAATAATTATTATTTTAAAAAAATGTTTCAATTGTTTTTATTTTAATTGGTGTTACTCATTTATAAGATACTAGGTATATGTAACTTATTCGGTTGAAAGTTAAAACCCATTTTTTCCCCATTTATAAAATATTTAATAAGCAGTTCAAATAATTTATTATTTATTTTATTTTAAATGTACAAATAATAATAATAGCAATACTAACACTAATAATGATTATAAAAGGAAACGAGTAAATGAAAAGGAAGAGGGAAGAAACGAGATGATTCATCTCATTTTTAAAAATTCATATCCTATGGACCTGGAACAACCCAGCAATGAAGCAGAATGTGCTTCCTGGGGAAGCAAATTCCGTAGTCTAGACCCTGCAATTCTGAAGGATAAGGCTAAAGTTTTAGAGGAGTGTTGAAAGCTTGGGAAATGATTGGTGCGTTTGGACAAGGAATATGGAAAAAAAGTTCATATTGAGTATATTATTTGATTTAATTTTAAATGCGTATATAAAAGTAATAAGCGTTAAAATGTGTAATATTTAGCGACCATTATTTACTGATTATTTAAACATTGTGAGATGCGCTCTGGTGTGATGTAGGTTAGAAAACATTTTCTTTGTCGTGCCATTGTTTCGATCTTTATTGAGATCATCTTGAGGACCAGGGATTTATAAAAATTGTTTCAATTATTACAAATATTTTGATTAAACCTAAAACTTTCTTTTGTGTACATAATTTTATAAATTCATATTCATATGTTATATGTATTTGTATAATTTAAACAATAATTTATAAATCCCAGGCTCTGAAAATGTTTTCAATAAAGAACGAAACGTTGGCACGATAAAGAAAATGTTTTTCTAAACCTATATCACACCAGACGGCATCTCATGGTCTTTAAATAATCAGTTCTTAGAATGTTGATATGCTAAAGGTGTTCATATAGGAAGAAATATGATCTCTTGCTTTAAGATCATAACAGTACCTAATGCAGGAATGATAAGCAATTTGAAGTTGACGAGCAAATTGAAAGTCTAAGTAAAGTGAAAAAATAACATTACAGTAAGAGAATGAAGGATTTAGCAGCAATTTAATAAGTAGAACTCTAGTTTTCTGAGATGTGAAAAAGGTCAAGTATAAAGAAAATGGAGGCTTGAGTAGGCCTTTTTAATAGGTTTCACATGGTCATGCAATGTAAGCTTGGGGTTAAAAATAACGCTGTGATTTTTAACTTTAGGACAAAAATTAATAGGGTTGATACGAGGATAGGCAATCTGTATTAAAATTAACTGGGATTTATTAGTATTTAAGGGAATGCCGTTATTACTTGTCTATCGATTGAGTAAAAGATCATGGTTGAGCAGAGATAGCTTCAGAGATGTTGCTTGTTAGACAGGTGTCATCAGCATGTAGATGAAATTAGGAGAAATTAAGATCTAATAGAACATCATTTCGAATCATGGAAAATAGTAAAGATCCAATGCTAGAGACTTGGGGTACACAAGCTGAAATTGAGAGAAAAAAGGATAATATAGTTGGATTGGGTGTCAGTTTTTAATATTTTAGGAATTATTATTCAATCATTACTCAGACTATTGATTGTAACTAGTTCAAATTTTTCAATAATTATATGTAAAAGAGAGAATCGAGTTCTTTTTATCAATAGATTGTAGATCTGATACATTACTGCATTATGTGTTGTTCATTTTCTTTGTAAAGGAGATAAAATTTCTTATTTTCACAAAATATGTTATGAAATATAAACGCTTGGATAATTCTGACCGAAAGAATTCAAGAAAGAAAGGAAACGAATGAATTCTGTAATGCTCTACAGAAAATTGATGATGAAGATTTGATCTCATATGAAAAGAAAGTGTTGAAGATAATTAGAAAATGAGAATGTGTTTATTTGCAATTTTTTTTAAAAAAGGTAATGGTGGCAACTTCAAAAAGTAAACTTGTGGAAAGGGTTGATGGATATGAACCAAGCAGTATTACTCAAGATATCTTTCAGTGAAATTTTGGACACAGAATCTACCATTATCTTAGGATTTAATTTTTTTTCCCACAACAATTTGTGAAACAATCCTTTGTACTATATGCTGTCAAATTTGATATTCTTCACTTTATGCATTACATTAACGTGAACAATTTTGACTTTGTAGCTACTTGTTAAAGTTTATTGGTGATGTGAAATAATGAAAAGTGAAACACCACCTTTGAACTCAGCATGTCACCGATATGTAAATAAATAAATAGATGTGTATCATTATAGTAAAAAAAAGCTTCATCATCCAAAAGGGAGTTAGGTGACCAAATCTAACACCTATTTCTCAGCTATGCAGTAACCTCAACCTGTATACACTGCCCTAATCACAGGAGTGGCTGAAAATAAGTTTTAACACTTATATGCCTGTAGTGATTGTCCTTGTCACGCTACATGACCCTACAAAGTACATCATCGCTAATTTGACACACAGAGAAAAAAATATCACTTATCCTCTATAAGACTATTCAAATACTAGTTGATATGTGATCAGATATCCTAGTAACCTGGGAAATCTGCTGAGGCGCAACAATTGTTCTGTGTAATCTGCAGCAAGGTGATGGTGGAGGTCCTACCTCCTCTCCCAGTATGTGTTCTTCTAGTGCTCGACAGAAATTTGGTTTCTTCAGGAGGAGGACCTACCAGCAAATTTCTAATAAGAATGTCCTTGTATTAGTCGGCTGTTGGATAATCAATTGCTAATTTTAAACTTATGTTGAGGTGAGCGGCCCCAGAAGACTTCTAGGGCCGCTCACCTCAACATAAGTTTAAAATTAGCAATCTAATAAGAATTCACAACAAAAGCCAGTATCATGCTATATATCTCATACTATGAAGGCCGATGCTAGAAATGTCTTGTTTCATCTCTGGAAATTCATGAGGGCGAACAACTACAGGAGGAATTTGACCAGAGCTGCTTTAAGGCATCCTTAGCTCACAGAAAAGAGCCCTCTATGTCAAGAAAACCAAGCTGAAGAAATCAGACTAAGTCTTTCGTAAAAGATAAAGTTAATTCAATTATGAAAACTATATGAAATGGCTACAACGATGTCTGACAAAATGAGAGAAAAGCTCAACTTTGACAGACCCTTCCAAGTGGGCACAAACAATAGAGACATTTAGAAGAAAGGTAGTCCCAAATTTGAAGAATGGCCCTGAGATGGAACCGGGAATAGGCGTAGGGATAAAAGGGGCCAACTTCACCCAGTGAAGCCCCTTGGACTAACCCCTACGATTTTCCAAGCTGAAGATCATGCAGTACAACTCTGCATGGGAGTTAATAAAGAAAAATATGAAAGGTGCAGAAATATACATACTCTCAGACGGCCAGGAAGCTATAAACGCACTAAATGCATATGCTTTAACTCAAACTTTAGCTGGGAGTGCCTAAACTGCGTAATGTCTGGGAAAAAAGATTACCTTAAAATGGGTTCCTGGACATAAGACATAGAAGGAAATGAACAGGCTGATCAACTATTAAAAAAGGAGCAATTCCTCAGCAAGCAGAATTTGAGGAGGATTATAGACCTCTATACCAACCAATGTCCTCTTAACACCTTAAGAAGAAGGGCAAGGCTGAGACGGAAACATGCCAGCTCTATCAGGATGAACCAGAGACATTGGCACATATCCTTTGCGAATGTAAAGCCCATTTACGGTACAGCTAGGACATTTCTCATGCCCAAGGATATCCACGAAGAGGTACCAAGGTTCAGTTTTATAAGGAATAGCGCACTTTTCAAGGCATGGCTATAAGCTAAAGGGGTTCCAGTGTTCCACAATAGAACTGTTTAGGTCAGAGTGAAGGAAAGAAGTTTCTTCTGCATCAACCCCCACCCTAAAAAAGAAGAACAGAAGTTTTTTGTGGGAAATATGTCGTTTACAAATCTTATGTTTGTGAATATATTTGAATTCATGAAATAATTTTCAGAAAGGAAGTTACTACTTAAGTAACCAGTACAATTTCAACGTGATTGTTTTGCCATGGCGTTCGTTTTTTGGAGTTGGCGCCCGAACCCGCCACGTGCCTCCTTTATATTTGAGTCACTTTTTCCTCGTTTTGCATAAAGATTTTCATCCTTGGTTCAAATTGCCCAGGCCCGTGTTCCGTCTCGTTTCGCTTTGTATGGGTTTTGCGAAACGGCCGACGCGTTTTCCGACGAAATCCATCGTCGTACGTCGCGTCCCCAGTCCGTAGGTGCCGAAACGGACCCTGGGCCAGTAATGGTAGGCGCGTGATTTTGAACGATTCTCCCCGATGTCTTTAAATAATCCAGGTTAGACGTGGGTCAGGCCGCTCTCTAAACGGCAGGAAAAGCTTCTCCTCGATTTTCCGCGCCTCGAAAACGCCTTTCGCAACGTTGATAAAATGTTTCCATGCATTCCGCCTATTCAACGATAAAAGACGTCACCGATTGGATCGCCTTCTCCGTTTTCCGAGCCAACCGACTTTGGTGAGTTGTTTAACGATTTTGATTTTATCGCCGCCGAGTCGTCCGGCAATATTTTCTTTCACCTCCTCGCAAACGGATGTTTTTGTCTATGTCGTTCCGGTTATTTTTCAAAAGGCGAAAATCCGTTTGGAAACCTCGCCATTAATTACGCTTCGATTTGTTTTGAATTTGAATGTTAACCTTTTTGAAATTGCAACGATCAAACTGTGCTCTTCCCTTTCTCCGTCTCACACATTTTAATCGACTCGTTTTCAATCTTCTCCTTTTCAACATGACGATTTTGCAATTGTCAATCTCTTCAAACGTTAATTAATTTATTTTGAATTATATTTATATTAAAGTAGCTAGTGAAAACTTTGCCGTTTCTTCAGTTAAGTTCCAAACAGATGTTTTAAACTCAGTCAAGTTTCATTTTCGGGCCTAGTTTAAAAATGATGCTACTTTTGTTTTGCTTTTTAAAGACATGTAAATAATAAATAACCGTGTTATCATACTCGTTTTTTATTCTCATTTAATTTTTTTTGTCAGAACATTTTAAAATTTATACCATTTAGGTACAATTAATAAGCATAAAATTACTACACTTGTGGAATTTGAGATATTAAAAAACTCACTAGCAAAATCAAATGCTTTCTCCTCTCTTTAGTATTATATATTTTAAATTATTATTTATTTATTTTTTAAGCAGTGTGTTTGAGTTAATAATTAGTGTAACGAGTAGTTGAGATGATTAGTTAGTCTTGTGGTCAGAAATCCCAATAGCTCATGAGCACCGGGGTACTGATCTAGATGTCATGGGTCTAGTCTCACTCATGTCACTAATTTTTCAACTTAACCACACTACATAAAAAATAACAAATGAATTACTAGTTAAAGTTAATTACTTTAATTAACATACTTATCACACCAATGACAAAATTAACGCACCACCCTTAAATTTTAAAGTCATCCACCATAAGTGCTCTATTGGGGCCTGGCATTAGAAAAGAATCTCTCACTGATGTAGGGGGGGGGGGAAGGCACTCGTGTACTTCTATTATGTCCTGCATGAACTTAGAGATCTTTGCACCACAACCAATTCGGTGCGGGTGGAGCCATCCAAAGAAATGCCATCCCACAACATCATTGATCTACTGTGGAATGCTACCTGAGAAATAGCATGGGGCGTATCCTTCTCTTGAGTGTCTCCATATGAAATTATGCCCATCTGAAGATTTGAAGGCTACTCTCACTTCATCTGTAACATGTAAAGTGAACTTGTTCCAAAATCGTTCACTGTCCAGTTCACACGTTCCTCAGCGAATCAAAGCCTTGCCATTTTCTGAGCTGTGATAAGAAGAGGTCCAAGAGCCTGAGGTTATTTTCATTGAGCCTTCTTCTTACCATCATGGAGGAATCGAAGCATTTTGGACTTGTCATCAGGTTTCTTATCTTATTTACCATAATGTTGCGGTCTCTCTCTCTCTTTTGCTCTATCACATCAGCAGACCTAGGTCAACCCTGACCCGGCCTTCTAGTGTGAAGCCCTGGTTCTCTGAAGTGCCGAATAAACCGTCCTATTGTAGAGTGATGTACATTCAGTCTCTCGGCGACTTCGCGCTAGCTGTATCCTTCCTCTAATAATGTTGTGACCCTGATACTGTCATACTCAAATGCCTGACTGGAGTCAATGAAAAAAGTTTAAGAATAAAAATGATATCAAAAGAAATCAACGAAGGAAAAATATTGAATGCGATCTTTAGGCGTAGCTTGGAAGTAGTATAGAAAGGCACAATGCTACGTTTTGTGCAAATGAGTTAATCAATACAAAAATAAACAAAAAAAGTAAACAAAGCAATATTTATTGTATATTTTGACTATGATAGATCTAATTACCTCTAACTGATGTAGAAAGATAATGGATTTAATTTTAAACTAAATAAATTGAATGTGCGTTAAATTTGTCTATCACTGTATATTAAATATATATAAAATACATATAGTAAAGCAGTTGACCTTCATATATCTTGTCATAATACTTTAGAGCTAGTACAACTTTGAAATAAATGACAGAGGGTATACTTTTTTACCCACTATTCTGAAGCACTATTTTTACATTGAAAACCATAGTGCAATCAGATTTTAAATTGGCCAATCAATAGTAAAGCTCAGAATGTGAAGAGAAACATCTTAATTTTGTTTTTATTATTTTCATTTTTTATTTTGATGTTAGCCGATTGTATGAATTTCTTGGGAAAATGTTGGTGGGTCTGCTGGCAGTGTGTATGTGCGTTCTATGTTTTTAATGTGCATATAAATGTTTTTAATTGTTAAAGGTACTGTAGATTTCACTACATTGTTTCTACAGCTCTGGGTTCCTGTTTGTGGTTCTTGATGTTTGGAACATGTACAGTACAGTTTTTCAAAAACTACTGTTTGTCATGTATTGTTATTTTACGTATTTTAACAATGGTCTATTTAAAAGCAAAACACAATTTTTCTTAAAATTATCAAACAACTGACAATTGAAAATAATAATAAAAACAAAAGTATTTTTCTGTTTATATTCTGTGTCATAACTTCAACCATTGCTTGCATTACTGCATAACCATTACTGCAAACAATCAACCCTTTCCATTCTTAAAGCTCATAATCACTTGGGGCTGTAGTTTCCATTTAGATATATAATTAGACTATTTTTTTACACTTACATCTCACTTAAAAAAAAAAAATTGTCCAATAACTAATTTTACGTAGCACATAAAAGGATCGTAATATAAAATAATTAATCCTTTAATTTAAGTTTTTGGTTAAGATGAAAAGAATAGTTTATTGGAATTTGAAAATAATACATTTCATGACAACAGTAGTTAACTTTCTTTTATTTTTCTTCTCCTTTCTCATTCCCATTTAATTTGAAGCCATGTAGTTAATTTATTTTGTGTTCAGTATTCATAGTCTTTAAAAAAATAATTAATTTAAAAAATACAATTTTTATGTGTGCAAAATTTTACACTTTCATTACCCCTTATGTTGGGGTGTAACATATACATGTTTTGTAAATGTATTTTCGAAAATGTAATTCCTTTTATGTCTTTATTAGCTCAAGAAGACTGACCAGTAAGGGAATATAAACTGTTCAACTTGAAAAAAAAAGAAAAAAAATGTCTGTCTTTGGAAGATAAAATATGTGCATCTTTAATGGAGAAAGCAGCAAATTTGTATAAATTTGAAATTTTATCTTTTCAACTGTCTAAACTAAAATCCAGAGGTTTTTATGGAACTGAAGTCGACATTGAGGTAAATGAACTTTCAAGTCAATTGAATCCTTCCGCCTGCATTGGCAAATAACCGTGTTCAAGTAAAATTTGTGGTCCCCTCTATCATGCATTATGTTAACTTTAGTGTATTGATAGAAATAGTTTTGAATTTGTATTATTGAATAGGCCTGCTCCTACCATACTATAGTACTATAGGAAAAATATAATTTTTCTTCTACATGCATGTATCACACAATCCTAGTAATCTGAAACAGTTTTGATTACTGAAAATTCAGATTAGCGTGAATACATATAAGTATTTATGTATTCAGTACCCCACGGCGTTTTAATTTTAAGTTTTAATTATTTATTTATAAAAATAAATAAATACAATAGAATAAAAATAATAAAAATGACAATTTTTTACTTCTTTTCACAGGCTTTTCCTATTGTTTTGTTGTCCTTCTCATTATTAATGAGGCAGGCTCGTTCAAAATAAATGGCATAACAACAATGATTTAATTTAGTTTTTATTAAAAGCGTTATGTGAAAAAGTTAGTTTCTGAAAATGTTTTTATGTATTGCAAGAAAGTATTAGTAAAAATTAAATATAAGTAAAAATAATGATATGTAGAGAATGTGAAAAATTCTCATGTAGTCAGGATATTAATTATCATTTCATTTTGACAATTGATGCATCATTATATGAATCATATTTAGATATCCTGATTATATAGTAAATTGTTAGTTTAATTTGTTTAAATATTTATTTTATTTTTATTTTGTAGTGATAAGTTAATTAAATGATGACTGACTCACTGAACTTGGACTCCAATGACATCGTCGGGAGCCTGGAGGATTTTGATTCTCTCCAAACGATCAAGGCTGAACTTGACATTCTTAATGAGCAAGTGCATCATGATACACGGAAGGTGGTAATGACGCCTACACATATGGAGATTTTGCCTGATATCCTTCCAAAGGAAGAAGACATCAAATCTAGCGATGAGCAGAGAATGGAGGATGATGAGATGGACGATGAGATGATGACAGCAAACATGATGGAAGACACGATATCCAATGAGATGATGCAAAAAGTCATGGAAATGCAGGAGGAAGAGGTAGATATTCAGACTGATCATATCCACAACATGGAAAGTGCTATCAGTCATGACAACAGTTCACTCTTCTCTGAAGGTGTCATTGAAGAGACCATTGAGGATGAGCAGGTCATCAAAGAACATAAGCCATTAATCTATGATGAAGTTGAACACATTTCCCAAAATCAAGTACGTAAAATTCTTTTAATTTTCTTAATATCTAATTGTACAACTCTTCTTCATAGCGAACTAATTCTAGGATTTATAAGAAATAAATAAAATATCTTCGTTGTTAGTATTTTGAGTTTTGAACAATATCTTTAATAGCTTATATGTTTACGTATTGGTTTTAATTACTTGTTTTTTGTCACCTTGATATTTTAAGTTGAATCTTAAAATATAGGCATAGCTTTTATTTATTTATTTATTTATTATTATTATTTTTTGTTTTTTGTTTTTTTATGTGGGCTTGTAACAACAGAGCTCATATATATATCCCCGTGTTTTGGTTGATGTTTCTCAACACCAGCAATTGCAGTGTTTTTGTGGGAAAAAATTAAACTTTTTTCTTTTTTCAGATTTTGGAAGAAAAGGCTGATTTTATAGATGATATTATAAATGATGATGTCATTCCTGAGGAAACGGTGATTGAGTCAGGGCAAGTTGAAGACAAGACATTTCAATCAAAGGAAGAGGAAATGGAAATTCACTCTGAAGAAATGAGACCCGAGGTCATTCCAAGGAATCAGCAAATGGATGAAGATGTAGATTTAAAGGAAGAAGTGGAGGAGAAAAGTGAAGAGCAAAAAAGCAAAAAACACCAAACCCAAGAGTTGACCCTTTCTGTTGACACACACACGTCGACTACTGTCAGTAGTGGAATTTATGTTGTTAATACAACAAGAGGCCAATCTCTTCTTCAGGGAAATACAATTATCACATCAAAAGAAAACACTCCTGTATATTTTCAACTATAACATATACAAACCAAAATACAATAAATTAAACTATTATATTTTATGTTAATAGAAAATGGCTCGTGTGGTGACAATTCCTAGTACAGTTGATGGTTTGGGAACATCGACTGCAGGACAGACTATCAGGATTGTCGCTCCTCAAGGAAAGGTGTTGGGTGGTATGGGAAAAGCCTTCACACTGGAGCAAGCCAGGAGAATGGGACTCATCTCACAAACTAGTTTAAATCAGATATTACCTACAAATGCAAAGGTATCATCATAATTTTACATTAAAAACAAAACAAAAAAAAACAACTAAATTTACTTGTAAATTTCATATACAGTTCACTTTCTGTATTCTGAACCTTTGTTTATTAATTTTTTTATTTTTATTTTTATTTTGTTTATTTATTTATTTATTTATTTTTTTTTTTGAGGAGTGACGATTATTGTATCAGTAATTATCAGTTTTTTTGGTTTATTATATACTGTAGTTGTTGAGTTGATTCCAAACATCATGCTTTGTATTTTTGACCCCTCTTCTTCCTCCTCCTAAAAAAATCAATAAATAAATAAAAATAATAAAATAATAATAATTCAGACTGGCCTTAGCTAATATTGTAGACGACACATTGCCCTTAAGTTTTTTCCTAACTATTCGATTTTGAGTTTGTTATCAAATGTTTACTGTAATTGATTTTATTTTAACAGACTGTAACTGTTATGAAGTCCCCAGCAAAAATTCTTCCTGCACCACCACCTTCTATACAAAATAAAGCGGGGGCGCAGAAGGTAAATTTAATTCGGCATGCCAATGCTCTCAAACCTGGTACCATTCTGACAACTTCTACTCCTGGGAGCCCAGTCATCAGAACATCAAATCAATCTATCGCAACACATCTGCAACTTCCTGGAGGAACCAAACAGGTATTTATTTTAAATCACTTTATGGATCAATTTGTATGTATATACTAATTACTTATGAAAAATATAATAATAGGTCCAATATGTGAAACTTATTGGTGGGAACAAAGTGCTCATGCCTGTATCTCTGCAAAAAACAATACCAGTAGCTGCGCTCTCTTCATCTCTCCTCAACTCACAGACAACATACAAAGTACTGCCAATATCAACTGCTCAGAGTACAAATACTAACAGTGTAAGTTACATTAAAATTTATTTGTAATATATTGATTGCTAAACTAGAATTGATTTGATAAAAAGAGTATGTAGCAATTAAGAGACGTTCAACAAGGATTGTGTATGGTTAATTGAGAGAAGTTACTTTAATCTTTATAATTTTTATTAAAAATAGTTCTTACATCAAATGATCACTTTGTTGAGAAAATGTTTGCTTTTTATGGCGTATTCTGTTTTACTTAAATTTTATCCCCTACACATTTACATTAAATTAGAAAGTAAACTTCTCTTTTCTATTTTTTTCTCTTTTTTCCCCCACAAAAATATTTTACTTTTTTAATTTTTCATGCTATGTAAAATCAGTAAAGGATGGGCCATTTGTCTTAAGCTTAAGGTTTGCTCTATCTAGGTTGGTCTATTGTCTAAGAAAAAGTGTTTATTATCTTTGATTCACTGGGTATGCATTTCAAATATTCTGCAATGAAGCTACTTCAACATTGGCTGACATGAAATCATCATCACTGTCGATATCGGAAGAATACATTTTGTTTTCTGCAGATGATCATACAGATATGCAATGGCAGTTGAGTATATAGAGACTGCTATTGAACTCTGGTGTTCACCACATCATCAATCTCGGAGCCATGGTCTACTTGGATGTAGAAAAGTAAAGTAAAAACCACAATCACAAGGCATCTTTGGGGTATCATTATCATTATATGTGTGCAGTGAGCATTCACCATTGTAAATGCAGTGTATAGTGGTTTGTGATAGAACATTATTATTAGATACTAACTAAGAACTGTTACTATGACCTATATCAGTGTTGTTCACAGTCTGGGGTTGTCCATCCAGCCTAAAAACTAAGACAAGATGAACAAAACGTTATATTTCAACATTTTCATCGTATTGCATATCTACAAACATGTCACAACCTAGAACAGAGCTTATTACTTAAATATCACTTTCAAAGAGTTGGGCATGGTCAGCTATGGAACAATGCCCATATTACCTGGCTTCATACTGATCGTAATCTCCGTTCACCTCAAGGTGACAGATTAATTTGTATCTCTGCCTCCTTGATGGTTGAATAAAAGTCGTCTCATGCCTTTGGTCAGGATCAGAGCTTGTATTCCTTGTTTTTTAAAAGTTCTCTTCATTCAAGGCACTCCTTGGTGAAGATTCAAATTCACAGGTTATTCAGCAGCTCATTTTATATTTTCATTTTATGGAGTGAACCTACATTATCAGATGAGTGTACAGGTACTAGTACTACAACTAAGATCTGGTTTTCTCTTCACCGGGTTCTATGTCTGAAGTATGGTTGGATATGTAATAAAAAAAAATTGTATAAATAATAAGTAATATTCAAGTTCAAATAACATTAAAGTAACATAAGTTTTTATTTTGCTACTGATTTCAGATTACACAGAGAGTGCTCATACCAGCATCAGCAGTACAACAAACCTCTGCCACACCTCCCCATACACAAAATTTAAATAATATTGTCATGCTTCCTTCTAACCTTATTCAGCAAGTAAAAAAGGTAGGAATATTGCAGTTGTTTCAAGAATATCAATAACTTTTCATTCTTCTTTAACTAACATTGAAAATTAATATAATAATAATATACTTATATTGCAAAAAAAAGAAAAGTTATAAATATTACATAATATATAATTTAAAGTAAATTTACAGCATGGAGGGTCTGCCATAAAAAAATTAATATCTTATACGGGCATAAAAAAAAGAAAATTAATATCTTCACGGGTGTGGGTAAATATATTTATTATGATGGACACAGTGTGGAAGGCTCTGGTAGCCACCTCATACAGACTTAACATGGTAATTACATAGGGTTTATCCTTATTTTACATTATTCAATAAATACATTTCAATTTGATTTGTTTGGTTGATGATGGCAAATGTTCTTGGGAAACAGTTCCGCTAAAAATTGTACTAATACCCAAGGGACCATAAAAATAATTTAAATAATCAAGAATTTGAATTAACAAGATGTTCGAATTATCAAGAAGAAAAAATCAAATTATTAAGAGGATATTTATTTTTAAAAAAAAGTACATAAATCAACCTAATAATAATGAAAAAGTAGAAAGATAAATTGTAGGCTTTAACATTACACTTTCTTAAAATAATCAGTAAGCATCTTTTCTTCATGGTGGCCTGATGCTCTTTGTCTAAAGCATTTTCCAGAGACCAGTGCTGAGAACATAGTCATCCACATTTTTGTAACCAGGAAATTACAGAGCATGTCAAGAGATTTTCTGGTCTCCTTAGATGTAACATTTGGTATTTGCTCTGCTACATATACCTCATCTTCGTCATTGCTATCATTTTCGCAAGAACTAGCCAAAATTTCATGTCTGATAACGATCCAAAAACAGTCACGTCATCGAAATGTATGAAGTTATCAAAAGTTAAATCTTGGTGAACTTCAGCAAGTAGGTTCCATGTGTCTCTCACGTCTATTTTCATTTCTTCTTCCCTTGCCTGTGATTCCGGTGGATTCTGTGAATCCCTTGTAAATCCACATTTTTCAAAACTTATATAATATGGTATTCTGTGTCACATTCTTCCACACCTTGTCAATCATTATCATTGCTGTCAATAATGTAATGTTAATATTTTCATTAGTCTCCGTACCCTCTAATTTAATCCTTACGACTTCTTTACGATAAAGGGTTTTAAAATTCTGGATTGCTCCATGTTCTAGGAGTCGTAATTTTGATGTCGTGTTAGCGAGGAAAACTAATTTTATATTTTGTAAATTCGGTGGGTGGTAGTAAACAGTACAATTGTTTAGAAAAAGGTGGCTGTTTTTATTTTATTTTCCCATTTCAGCATCGAAATTTTCTGTTCATCCATGCCTTTTTATTTGCCTACAGCCGCATTTTTTTTTTTCCATAGAAAGAGACACATACATTTTTTTTAAATTCATTCTGAGTGCTGAATATAACAACAGTGAGTCTAAAGAGAATTGAGAAATGTAAAGAAACTGTGCTGGACGGAATATGTGGAAAAGGTGTATCCAAATACACAACTTTTTTTCAATTTACCGAAGTTAACAGCTAAGGAGTTTGAAGTATCAAGAAATTTGTATTATTGAGTTTTGAATTAACAAGAGTTGACTGTATTATCTAGTTGTACCATATGAAATGTCAGTAATTGGGATAATATAAAGCTGGAATCAGTATGATAAATACCTCTTTAATCAATCAAAATATTCTTAAGAAATAAGTTTTTACCTAGTCAATCAGTCAATCTTGAAACGTGAGGACGAACTTGTGGAGGAGTATAGCTACTTTTGATTGACCGAATTTGGATGTTTTTCTCTGGACTTTTTGATAAAAAAAAATGGCTATACGAGTTTGCTGTTATTATTTCACCAGGGCTTAAACAATTAAAATTGACCAAACCACCCATTTTTATCAAGTAATTTTTTTTTTTTTGTGCAGGCTTGATTTTGTTCACAATTCGTGTGATACCCATTTTTCCAAGTTTTTTAAATGCCTTGAAATGGTCATAGCACCTTCTCCCTGTTCTTTGGCATATTTCCTAGTGCTTTTTGAGGGACAAGGTTCAACCACTGTCCTCAACCCCTAGTTTGGTTTCCGGCCTACCTCGTTCCTCGTTGTCAAATTCAAAATTGCTGAAACCTTGAAAACCACTTGTAAACAGTCCTTTCATTCGCAGAGTCCTCCCCAAAAGCCTTATTGATGTTAGGACATGCCTCAGCAGCGGTATAACCAAGTTTAAATCCTTACTGAAAAATCATGCATAATTCTGGTGAAGTCATTGTTGATAATAATTTATTTCTCAGAGAAGTTTCAAAAATGAAAGCAGACCAATGACTGAAGAAGTAAGAAAAATAAAAGAGCTTTAATTCGGTATGAATGACATGTTTGTAAGCATTGCATAATAAAGGAGGAGGATTAAGAAAGAAAGTAAACAAAATGGACATTTAATACGGTACAGTCGGATAGAATAAAATTGGGAAAGGCTATCAAACTCTTCTGTTGAAACTGGCAAAACACCAACTCTTTTTTTCCTTTTTAAAAAGATAGTTCCTACTCACAGTAAGTTGTTTTGCAACGATCCAGATTTCGAGCTTATAGCTCATCATCATCGCAAAACAACTTACTGTGAGTAGGAACTATCTTTTTAAAAAGGATTGAACATCACAATCACTCCATAATTCATCATTTCTATAAACATCAACTCTGTTTTAATGCAAAAAAATATTGTTTTCAACATTTAGATTGCACCGAAGGATGAAAGTTGGCTACAACAGCAACTAGTCCAAACTACTAACTCCTTGTCACCCAATTCTGCTAACGTAAGCCCTAATCTTAATATGATTTCAAAAGAGGTCAAGACAGAATACTGGAGTGGAGACGAAATTGTAGAAGCAAATGGAATCCGCCCAAGAAAGCCTTGCAACTGCACAAAATCTTTGTGCCTTAAATTGTAAGTATATTTTATTTTAGTTTGTATATGCGATATCACAACCGAGTTGTTATATAATTGTAGATCACTTGATTTTGCGCTTGATATTAAAGCATAAACAACATACAGGATTTGTGACTTTTAAATTAATTTGTAAATCAATATCCAATGTGGGGAAGCAACTTACCCAACCCACACCCCACACTAATTAGCAATGATTTATGATGAAGTAATTTCAAATATCAACAATTCGGGTAAAAATCCGACCTTCCTTTTCACAAAATAGACATGCACAAATGAACCTATAGTTTTCGCTATTCCATATTCGATTTTTTCTTTTTTTTAATGAGGTTATACGAACCCTCGGGATGTTGCTGTTCAAATGCAAAAAAGCCATTTGTAAATATGTCGGGTTCAAATACAGGGATGCTGGAGTCATACCTTGCATCTTTACCTTATAGCAGTGAGTGCTGTGTCAACGCCTAAACAATTGTGGCTACAGGTGCCCCCTTATCTCACAGTTTAATTACACAATCTGAAGAACCAATTGTTTTGAATAGGGCTTTATTGATATAATTCCTTCCTTTGTTTCTTCAATCCTCTGGGCAAGCAGGCATACCTTTTATGCCCCTCTAGACTGTGCTGGTTTCTAAAAATGCATTGCGAGCAAATATTTCTAAACTTTGAATCCTGGAAATCTAATGCTAATTAACTGTATTTTTTATGCAACTCAAGGATAAAGGAAGATATTTTTCACTTTGTGGCTGAATGCTCAGTTTTATCGGAATATCGTCTTTCACATCTAAGTGTCCATGCCTTTCTTCTTTCATTCAAGATCCTGAATGGAAAAAAAAACAATTGTAAACCCCTCGGTTGCTACCCGTGCGATGCTTAGCAATGCTGATATCAGTTGATTCAACAATTACAATAACTCAAGACTGGATTTTCATGTAGTAATAAAAATCTTCAAAATGTTCAGAAATATGTAAAAAATTCAGTCATAAAATGTAACTCCCATTAAACATGGTAAAAATTTTATTTACCTAATAAAATAGTTGTATTAAACATTGTTTATGTCTGATTATTTTATAGTCAATCAATTATATCCGTTTTTAAACCCCAATTATGTTCAAATATTCATTTAAATTTTATATGACAACAAGAAAGATAAAACTTCTGAAAACAAAAAGAAAAACTTACTTTGGCCAAGCTTTCAGAACATATTATCCCATCCTTGTGTTCAAAACCAGAAAATTAAATTTAGATGTAAAAGATAAAAATTGAATGAATAGAATTAAAATTTCTTGACAATATTAAAAAATCCTTATTAGTAGCCTAGTTCAGTTTCATTTGGTATACTAAAAAAGGGCCACTGAAGTTTATCGCATATGTGTTTCAGATATTGTGATTGCTTTGCAAATGGTGAGTTTTGCAATATGTGTAATTGTACTACTTGCTACAATAACCTGGACCATGAAGAGGAAAGACAGATGGCAATCAAATCGTGCTTAGAAAGAAACCCTACTGCTTTCAGGCCAAAAATTGGCAAAACTATCACAGGTAGTGAGGAAAGGCGGCATAATAAAGGATGTAATTGCAGGCGGTCCGGGTGTCTAAAAAATTATTGTGAATGTTATGAGGTAATTAATATCTCGTGTAAACTCTTTATCCTTCATTGAGATCATTAAGCAAGATTTTTTCTTTTCAGGCAAAAATACCTTGCTCACAAAACTGTAAATGTGTCGGTTGTAAAAACTTAGAAAGTTTTATGTACAAGAGAGGCCCCATGTATGATGATGACCGGATACGAACGAAGGATGGTGCATCCTTTCTAAAAATGCCTTATGATCAACATTCTGCAGGGCAAAGGTAAATATTTCCATGGGATTGTTGTATTTTAAAATGTATTAGGTTAAATTATCAGATTTAAATTATTGAGTGGGGTGTTGGTGGCCGCAATGGTTTTGGCGTTGATACGGCCCTCATCACTGTAAGGTAAAGGTCCCAGGTTCAAATTCAGTGGCCCTATATTCGAACCTGGCATTCTTCCAAATGTTTTTTTTCCTCCCCGCCAAAAAAAAAAACATGCACCCTGAAGGTTTATATAACCTTAAAGTTGAAATACCCTTATATTTAATTATTGTAATTTTTGGGCTGATGCAAAAATAAAGGAGGAGGTGCAAACCAAGAATACAATTTACAGATTGCTTTCTGAGTTTACTTTCAAACTTGTTGGTGGCTTCTGCACAACTTTCACCTCGATTTAATTCTCTCGATGAGATTCACCAAGCACATTCGTATTGCTCATCCATTACTTCCCGGTGTACCCATCAGTTTGTTCCATCTCCCAATCACAAACCAGTAGCCAACTAATCCGTGATTTAAGACTGCACATATCCGAATGTTGACTAATCACGGATTCTTAACTCTGATGGAAATATTTTTTCCAATCTCGGTCTCTGACAGTTTAGGTGCGAAATATCCATTTGAAATTGAAACCAGACATTTTGTTTATATATATTTGTGCATTGTGTCTATTATTTTGTAAGGAAAGTGATTCCTGGTGATCGGCAGCAAAATCGGGATTACGCTGGCCTACTTAGGTATTTTAAAATTGTGTTCTTAAAATGGGAACATTGTAAATTTGTTTGTAGCCCTAATAATAAATTTCATGTTGATAGTACAACATGAAGATTCGCTTTTTTTTTATTGAATATTATCCAACTTATGGACAACTCTCAATGGAATAATGAATATGGCCAATAAATTTTTTCCCATTATTTATGATTTTGTTAAAAAATTTCAGTTGGATGCTTTAATATATCTTTTCTAAAATGCCTTTTATTGCATTTTTATTTTATAGAAATTTTTATCAGTAGAAAGATACATTTTATTTTACGAAAAATTAAAAATGTACGTTATTCCAATTGAAAGAAAAGTTTATTTTTATTTTATTAACTTGTAATATTCTTCCTTTTTACACATTTTTCAACTAATATATTTTTTTTAACCAAACACCCAATGAAAAAAAAAAGTAAAATACAATAACATTTAGTTTATGCATATGTATGTTTTATTTTACCAGTTTCCACCAAGTTGAGTAAGAACTTGGCAATTTGGCAAGATCAAAAGTGCTTAGATGGAATAATGAATATGGCCAATAAATTTTTTCTCATTATTTATGATTTTGTTAAAAAAATTTCAGTTGTATGCTTTAATATATCTTTTCTAAAATGCCTTTTATTGTATTTTTATTTGCACTTGTCTCTGACTGCCAGTCCTTAGTAAAATTCTTGGATTGTTTTGACAATCAAAATCCAGTCACAAACCGGTCTGAAAACACGATGGAACTGCCAATTGACAGTTAGAGTTTGGGTTTGGATCATGATAGAAAGCCAAAACAGCAGTACATGCGCCCACTGGTTTGCTGGTTTGGACGTGTGATGGAACAAACTTAATATTAAATAAACTCTATTTTAGTCTGATGAGGTTTATTGAAATAACATCCTTGATGAACTATGAGTGTTAAACATTTATTCTTGGACCAGGCCCTTCTGTTGCCCCTTCTCAGGAAATTTATATAAATTCTTTAAAACAAAGTATTTTTAGTGAAAAAGTTGATATAACTGGTGTTGTGGAAAACCCCATTTTATAAAATAAATACAAAATAGGAGCCCAGCTTTCCCACTATGGTGTTTACATCTACAAATCTTCACCCTTTGAGTAATTTTATTTAGTTGCTGATTCCATGAAATTTTTAGGTCATTGAGATATTTTACTTTTTTAGAGAAGGGATATTCAGCTCCATTTAATACAAGTGGTACACCGTATTGGTGCCAGTCAGAAGTAAGGCTATATTGTAGTCAGAGCTTCACATTAAATTAAAGTATTTGTATCACTTAGCATTATGGCTTGGTTTTCTTTACACAATTGATAAAAATCGAGCCAAAAAAGAAAACCTGCAATATTTTTGCATCAGTCTAATAATTATTTGTTTCTACAAATTTATTTTTGTGTGTGAATGTTAATTAAAATAACATTGTTTGCTACTATAACTTTTATGTATTTTTATTTTTTGAAGAGGTGATTAAAGCATTTATTTTATTTTAATTTTTTAAATATATTGAAATCAAATATTGGATTATATTTCAGTTTGAAATTACTTTTAAAAACTAATTGAAATTTAAAAACTAACTATATTTGAATTTAGTTATTATTGAAAGAATGATATTTGTTTCAAACTCAGAATACTTCATTTTAGACAGATTTTAGAAACTTGAAAATGAGCAGATTTTACTGACATTTACAAATAATTAATTTTCTTGCTCATTTACCCTATACAAGTTATGTCTAGCTGCAGTTAAGATTCAAACTTTCAAATTTCCAGTTTTTATGTTAGGCAGGCATTCAACCTTATGACCAACGAGGTAGTCCAGGCGACCTGCCAATGCTTAATAGCCCAAGCTGAAGAATGGGAGAAACAGTATTCACGTGCCAACATTGATCACACGCAATCACAAATCATCGAAGAATTTGGTCGCTGTGTTGTTCAAATCATCGAATGTGTAGCCAAGTCGATATCGCAACAACCACTTCCTTCATCTTCATAACTTAAACATTTTTATATTGGAACTTTTCTAGTAGGAATGTAGAATGAAACATCCATGTTTTCATTTACTTACTACACTTCCTAAAAATAAGTTGTTTGACTTGTGGTAAGTAATATCCATTACTTTAAATAAGTTATACACAATGTTTTGTTTAAATAGTTTTTAAATTTTATATACATATATTTATTTAATAACTTATTAAACCAATTTTATTGACATTTAATGTAACAAAAAATATATATTTTAAGAATTAATTTCTGTATATTGTTTAATGATCCTTTACATTAAAATTATTTAAAACAACAGCATAAACACTTAATAATACAATTTTTTGTTTTTCAAATCAAGATTTTAGAATCAGTAATAGAGGTGTGTGTATGTGTGTGTATGTAAGAGAAAGAGAGAGAGCTGAATGTTCTGAGCAAAAAAAAAAATTAACTGTTTTTCACTTTTCTTGTAAATATACTTACATTTAAACAAATTAAATGTACTGCAAAACATTCTTTTTTGGCATCTGATATTTTACCAAACAACAATAATTAAAGAATAAATGTTAATATTGTATAAAACATGGATTGACTGGATTGGGTACAAATACAATTTCTACCCTTAAATTTTGTTATAGAGTTGAAATAATTTATGTAAGTTTTAGGTAGTTTTAAAACAGTGTACATAAAATTCTGGTATTACTATTTTAAACCTTGTACATAATATTGCATTTGGTTTTGTATGTAAATGAAATATATTTCCGCTGTCAAAATATATATTTCTTTATTTGTGTACATTTTTTTAAAAATCATTAAAGGTCATATCTGTGAGAAAAAACTGTAATTCTGAATTATATTTAATTACTTTGTGTCATTTTCTGTTATCCTCAATATCCGTTCCTTTGCAGAACACCAAGAAAATTAGTAAAAATAATAGAGTGACAGTACAGTCAAAACCAATGTTTTTGTTTTAATTACAATTATTTTTTAATACAAACTAATTTCTTTATCAAGTGTAGAAGTATTAGTAAAACATAATGACAAATAAAGATATTGATAGGTGTATTTTTCTAAATAATATTTTTAGAATGGAATATTTTGCCGCTTGGGGCTCAAAGGTCTCCTGTACAAATTACAGCAGCCTTCCAAATGGGGGACTACAGTAGCTGAGTGGTCTAGACTCTTGGCTCATAGACCCCGTTGGTCGTGGTTTCAAATCCCACTTGGCTTTTTTGTCACACAACCCCCCCTCCAAAAAAAATAAATAAATAAAAATAAAATTGTATATATAAAAACATTCCTTGGCTAATATGCACATTGCACATTTCATAAGGTCGTATTCATATTTACCTCTGAAGAAATAACACTACACACCATAACTGAACAACCTTCTTCCAGCAATGTTGCATTGGTTGTAGACCTCTACAGCTGCTCAATAAACTCGATGTCCATCTATTTAATTTATAGTAATTGTGGTAATTAATATGTTTCTTTTCAAAGGTAATTTTTAAAACATTGTACTTGTTATTTGAATGTACTCGTACTCTAATTTATTAACTTAAAAATATCTGTGCAAATAACTGAGACAAATGACTATTGAAAAGAAGTCAATAAGTTGTGAGAATTCTCTGTGTGGTGATCAGCCATCAGTGATCGTTACTGATCATCCAGGTGATTAAAGTCATCCATAACACGTTTTCTCCATTGGTATGAGTAAAACAGTTTTTTCTTGGTTTGTGAAATTTGTAAGAATACCCTTCGTCTTCAAGTAATGCTTAGATAATTTATATTTTTAAGAGTAACTAATAAAAAGAATATAAAGTAAACGTTTATTTATTTAATTTTTTCTTTTAATTTGTTTTGTATCATCAATGTGAGCACACTTATTTTTCATGTTTTGTCCAGTTATATAACTAGTGATGAGTTCCGATAATATACCTGAACATCGCGAGCAATAAATTCTGAATGTTTTCCTCTCCTGTCTAAAAATTCTATAAGACATTGTAGTGAAACCTTTCTTAATGTAAAATTAATAAATCAAGAATTTTTCCTTTTCAGGTTCAACATACCACAAATTTTATTTGTATGCTAGAGAGGAAAAGTCATCTTTTAACTTTTTCTTCTGTCATCTGAGAATACACTGAAAATAAATAATTTTTTATGTAATATTTCTTCTTATTTACACATTTGTTAAACCCACTTGACGAAAGAAGGAACAGAAAAACTTAAAAATGAATAAATAAATAAAATAAACTTATAATTATTATAATTATTCCTCTGTTTATAACATAGTTATTTTATTTATTTTTACAAGAAGAATTAGTTTGTGTTCCTATAAATATTTCTTTTTTTGTAAACAACCAACAATTCTATATATCTATTTTGTTTCTCATACATCTCTATGTATTTTCCTGTAAGCTTCAAACACTTGATACAAACTTTTTAATTTATATCATACATTATACATTACAAGCATAATGAAATAATATTTTACAAAACCATTAGGCAAAAGTGTACATTCACTAAGGTATATTATATTAAAACTTGCTTTCTTTATGTTTTATAAATTTTTATACAATTTTCCCGTAAATCTTAATTATATAGTAATTTTCAATTTCATAAATGGTGCAAATAATTTTTTTCCAGTATTTTTACGCTTATTAAAGAGTACATTTTTAGTACATTTGTGTTATTTTGTGATTTATTTCACTGAAACTACAAATACAAACTGGCAAAGCTTTCTCATCAATAACATGGATAACAACAACCTAAAGGAAAATGATATTTGAAGAGATATTTTTGGCTATATTGTATTTAGTGGTTTACAATGTTCCTTTACTTAAACCATTTATTTCCATTTAACTACATTTTTACTTGACATAATTCATTTGTACTCTAAAACTAGCTCAAAAGTATATACAAATGTAGAGCCTTCTCCATTCATCATCATTTTCTCATAACAGAGTCCTCATTTCAAAGTAAAATACAAAAATAATACAATAAAACAATGAATTAAAGTCTAGAATATTAAATATTAAGAAGGTATTTTGTTTACATTTAGTTTAAATTATAATTTTTTTTTCTACAAAATGATTAAATAATTTTTATGTGTATACTCTAAAATGTAGAGTATTAAAAACAACAGTAGTACGTACAACTTTTTAAAATTTTAAATTCCTTTTTAGAAAAATGTTTGCAATGTCATTTATAAGAGATAATTGTATTGAAACTAATTAGGATTTGCTAAATTCGGATGTATGATTTATTTGGTGCTAAACAAATTTCCCGTTTAAAATCAAAAAATCTGATACTAAAAGTTTACATTCTGCATTTGTAATTTCCTTAAGAGAAAACTTCAAATGGTCAGTGGAGGAAAAGTAGAGTGGTGTTTAATGAAAGACGGATTTTAACCGGGATTTGTCATAATAAAACTGGGAAAGCCATGTTAATTCTCAAATGTCGACTCAGCTCATTTTATTCTTATTTAGGCTTGTTTCCAGCTGTTGCTGCCGGCTGAGGGAGTGCTGCAGGCATCTGCTGCACCATTCCACCTGGCTGCATATTCGGTGGCATTACCATCTGTGGTTGCATCATCTGATTTGGTGGCCTCTCTTCAGGCATGAATTTTGCTGAAACACAAATATTCATCTTAAAGTAAAAGACATTTTTAACAGAAAATTTGGAAAATCTAAAAGTATAAAGTATGTACACATGTGGAAGGCTGATTATTATGGATTGCAAAGTAAAATTAAACTGACATGCAAGAAAAGAGAAAGTCTATTACATTTTATGTTGTTCAGTTACATGCATTTCGTAGAAATAATTGATGAGTAACATCCACAAAGGATTAGGATTTTTGAAATAGTGGCAATTTAATTTTTACAAACTAATTAAATGGAAGAAATAATGGTATGTTTTACTTATTTACTTACCCACAATGACTGCCAAAATGATCAAGCCAATTCCACCCATTATGATCATCATCTAAACATAAAGGAATACTATATTCACAGTTTTGGCAATAATGAAAATATTTTACCTTTAAATTTTGAAGCCAAAATTTTCTTTTAAGTTTTCCTGCCTGTTGTTCAAATTGTGAAGCTCCCTGTTGTAATGCATCTGAATATAGTTAAAATTATATTATTACATGGTATATTACAAATCAAGCAATCATAATAATTATTGCAGAGATAACAGGCCAACAAACAACAATTTATAGATGAAGATATATTTTTACCTAAGCTTAACCTTTTAGCCTAAGGTTTTAGAAATAAACGGTTTTTTTAATTAAAAATATCATTCACCATTATAATGTTTACTATGATTAGGAACAACCAATTATTTTTAACTTGTGAACTTCTATCATCAATTAATATCTTATGTATAATAAATATCAATCTTATAAAGTAATAACAATTTCTTACCTGCTCTATCGTCCAATTCTGATAATTTCTGATCTCTTTCAAGCACTTTTTCTACATTTGTTTTCATAATATCAACCACCTGAAAAATATTTCTTGAATTTTTGACTTGTAACCAACAACGACTAGATGGTATGTTTGCATTTTAGAAGGGAAAATTGAGAAACTACGAGTTTAATAGAGGGAAAGAGAAGTGTAACAGAGGAAAGTGGAAAATATTTTACAGCTAGAGTGAACATTAAAAAAAATTTAACAGTTCCTTTTTAATCCTGAATCCCCCCCCACCCGGTTCAATTGGTTAACTTTTCATATCTATTAATTAGAAAAAATAAAATAAAACAACAGATTTTTGGTTTGTTTTGCTTTCTATTTAAATATGAATCAAGGACAGAAATGAAATTTCTGTACTTTGTCATTTATTTTATTTGCAGCTATGTTTTAATAACAATAATTAGTTGTTATTTTGAATTCCAGATGAACACAAGAACATAAAAATAATAAGACAAATATTGTAATAGATTCCCTTGCTGTAATAAATAATTTCTTTTAAGGGAACATTTTATTTGTGTGAAATTAAGGCAATGAACATTAATGGCTGTAGGAAGTTCAGAACATTTGCAAGTGTTATGTCTTAGTTCTCCGTAGTTGAATCAACATCAACAAATTCACAGGGTAGGCCTGTGAATATGTTAAATTATAAATGTTATGAGGTAAAAAACATTATAACAGTTAAAGCATATTTCTATCTCATCAATTAAAAATTCAAAGCATTTATAATCTAAAACTTAAGACGGATTATTGATTAATAATTGACACGTGTCGATACGCACTTCATCGACTTGGGCTTGCGTCTGCTGGAGTCTTTTCTGGGCGGCAATTTGCTGTGGTGTCCGAGGACCTCCAACAATTTCTCCATCACCACCTCCCGGAGCCAACGCTGCTCCCTCCGTTGCCCTGTAAAAAACAAGACATTTGAGAAACAAATTGGGTAATTATTATTATTTTGTTTGCATCCCATCTGCAGATTATGAAATGAGGAGGAGGAAACAGCCACCCATATCATCTTCGAATGTGAAACAATGCTCAATGGAGATTTAACCTAACATATGAAAAAATTTAGGGAATGAAATTATAGCAGTGACAGTCAATGACCTGATACTTCTAAGAAGAAGGATCGAGTCCATACTCCATTGCACTGAAACAGGGAACTAGGAAAGTACAATAAGCCAGAAGGCTGCAGTGTCTGGGGAGCACAAACCCCACTTCCTAGTATCCTCATTACCATCCATTATTTTATTATTATTATTGGTCAAAATCATATCATGAACATAAACAATAATTTATTAAAGTAAAGGTGAATAATAAGCTGACAACAAAAGAACACCATGCCAAAAAAAGGAAAAAAACTTAAGATAGTTCTTACTAAACTTATAATCATACTTCTTGCTCACTTTTTACCACAAAATAAAATTAATAAAGAAATTCGCAAGGAAAGTAAAATATAGTACGATCTTATCTAGTTCTATTTCATCCACTTTTTCCTTTACCCTAATCCCCCTTCAACCAAAAATAATCCTCATCCCAAATCATTATAATTTGGGTGGGGTTATCATTTGATATTTAATTGTAACATTATTTTGGGTAAAATACACCTTTTTTTTGTGAGTCACCGTTTTCGCGTTGGGCTAGGATTAGGGACGGATTTGGTTACATACTTATGATTTCATTATTTTTTATTGCAGCGGAGAAAATATGCGAATGGGAAACGCCAGTTAATTACAGATAGTTTTGTTGTAAAACTTATGATTACCTATTTATTTAAGTCTGGTGCATTTGTTCCAGGTTCTAATGTTTCTCTGATTATGGGATCGTCGTGGGTCGGTATGGGAGTACTGGACTATCCCGAAAAAACGGTCGAATTTCTAGACGATAAACTTCGTTATACCGGACAGAAAATGATGTAAAATGTTTTTATTAATATTATTTTATATTTTATATGTGCATATCTTCTTATATTTTATACTGATTGAATTTTTCATAAATGATTTATTACAATTTAAAACTAGTCCTTTGAGAAAGAGAAAAACACAAGCTCATCAATAAAAATGGCGAAACGCGTTTGACAAACCTTTTACAGTATTTTTTTCGTTTTTACATATTTCTTGGGGAAAGTTAAGTGTCTTTTGATTGAAGAGATGCAAGACGACGAACATACTTCTCCATGCGCGTAGCATGAAAAAAAAACATCGTTGACTCAAAAATGAAGACTGTATCAAAAACTAAATGCTACCCATCTGCGAGAAGACAACAAAAAGTTTTCCGAATTTTACCGTCTTTCTATTGACTTCTTGTCTTTAGTTTGATTTCAACTTTTACATTTTGAATTTCGGTTGTCTGTGTAGAAGGAAAGACAAAGGAAAGAAAAGAAGAAATTCAGGTCCAACACCCTGCAACTCGAGTGGAAAACATCAAGAAATCTGACATTAAATACATCAGATAATAAACCCAAGATGTACACGATAGAATAAATACAAATAAATTTATTAAATTATTTCAATTAATTATTCTTTTTGCGTAAAGTCTTGGTTGGTTGTTAAAAGTTTGTGTTACGAGCGGGATTCGAACCCACGATATTCGGCTAAGACCTTGCATAAAAAATAATTATTATTTGAATTAATCAATATGGTCAATTAGACCACTAAACATAAATAGATTATTGAATTATGTTATAAATTCATAGTGTACAAAACGGTAAGAAAACACGAATCTAAACATAACAAAATTCATGGAACATAAAGATGGATTTCTAAGCCAAGTACAAATTATCAAACCCGTGAATTCAAGTGAATGTAGAAACATTTTTTCATTTGAGTTTTTCCATGACCACTATGGTTTTTATTTGGACAGTAGTTTTCTTTGGTACCTCTCACTAATTAATTCATTCCTAAATCCTAAATAAATTGATATTTTTTCAACAAGCTTTGGGACTGTAGCACTTTTCGTACGTTTGAATTTTGTTTTTATTTATTTATTTTTTTATGGGGCAACTAACAATGAAGCAAGCCATTTCAGCCCTCGCTCGCTGTTATGGCCGATGTACTCGATATTCCGCCATCGGCCATGAAGATGTCATTAGTCACACATTCACGATAATGGAATTATTTGCAAATATAACATATAAATATGTTACATAAAAATACACACATGCACACAGTATATCGAATATTTATATGTGAGGAAATACCCCCTTTTCTCTTAAAAAATGGAACAAGGGACCCAACTTTCCACTCGCCCGCCCGAGTACCATCTTTAAGTCAGGGCTCATGGCTACTCGATCCCTTAAGGAGCAAGGCATGGCACTCTTCGATCAGATATGACCCACTGAGCAAACTTTCTGTACAAACCTGCGCGAATTTTAACACAAAACAGCGTGTCACGTTTTTAACTCTATGACGTTGCGATTACCCATGTTTTTTAACAGTTCTACAATCAATGCTAAGCAATATTTGTTTAGGGTGGTGCAATTTTGATAACTGATTTGGGGTTTTTGCGAACCTGGTTTTGATTTTGGGAAAGGTATGATTTTTTTTTTTACAATGATGATTATTTTTAACTCAAGTGGCACAGAGAGTTCGGTACATATTTGTGAAAATTGAAGTGATTTCGGCTTCTTTTTACATGATGTCAGTTGTTTAAAAACCGAATGAAAGGTTGAATTCTACCTATCTCCATTTAATTTGTATAAATTTTATCCGTTTCCTTGTAATCTCTTATATTCATCCTTTTATGCCGTGACATATACATTATACGTGAAATATTCATTATAAAAATGTGTATATAATTGATCATATTTTATTCTATTGTTCTATTTCCTTGTAGTAAATGAAAATAGGTGACCTTTGACATCGGTGAGTTATTCTCAACCATGACGAGCGATCTCAATGAGTAAAATATTTATTTTAAATTAATAAACAATGATTCTGAGCTGTACAGTAAAAAATGTATGAAGATTCTCGACATCGTGAGTCTCGAGCTACTCGACCGTTGTTACCTATGCCACCCTATGGTTTCGCTGATAAAATGTACTAATCGTACACAGAAGTACACTTTCATGCTATTTATATCAAACGAATAATCAAATAGGCATTCTTCTCTTCGATATTCCCTGGTTCGAAAGTTTTAATCGACAGAGCACGTCTCGACCTACAAGCTCTTCAGTACAGCTTTCGATTTCGCCTGAGGCATATTATAACATTATAATGTTCTAATAGTTAAATTTTCTATGCACTTATAATGGCAAATATGCTACAACTAATAATGCACGTCGAGATTTAAAAAATGACGAACTGCATTAATGCACCCACCAGTCCGTTAAGGGGGCGGGTCGAGTCGTTCCTGTGTATAGACAAGGGGAGGGGCACTTTCTTTCCCTCACGTCATCAAATGGACTTAATTCGACTTAAAAAATAAATTAAATAATCGTCTAGATTTATAAAAGTTAAAAATAATCACTTCTTTAGGTCTGAAGTGAAACAATTTATTGTAGAAAGTTTAAAACTTTACATTTTACTCTCGACCTTTTATTTCGTAGGCATTAACTCTTTTAATTTATATTTTCAATTTTTTATTGTGTTTAAATGAGAAACAATAACGCACGACAGAATATCCGTCGTAATATAGCTGGTCATAAAAGTATTGTTAATTTTAAACAGCGGCTAACACGAAAGATTTAAGCAGTCTGTCCGTAGTGCACGGTGGTAGCTGAAGGAATCGGACCATCCTTCAACCTTAGAGATTTGACACTGACATTACTCCACCGTTAAAATAAAAATTACTAGATATAAATTACGTTGCTATGCCTACTGCATACTCCCACACGATTCTATTGATCTCTATCATTATTAACAAAAATCTACTTTTCTATTTGGTAACGTGTCGAGGTAAGGTATCTTAGAAAGTGGGTAAAAACAATAAGTAGGGTAAGGAGAGCGTTAAGAACGGACAAATTGGAGCAAATTGAAATTGAAAAGCGGCCGATCGTTGAAATGTCATGAGAAAGCACTGTGAAAAAGTCTGGTGGGAAGACTCACATTGCGATGTGGACAGTACGTCGTCGGTCGTCTTCTGGGTGATGCCTGTCTTAACCAGCGGAGATTGCGACTGTCGGCGTCACTGGTTTTCCGTTTGCTCAAGAATAAGGTGTTCTATCAGTCTATTGACGGATTTCACCCTTACTTGGCCCACTCTTTCCCTTGTCTCCCTCTCCCAGGCGAGCCTATTCTGGTCGATACCCGCGATTTTGCGCAATCCGATCAAAGCCACCCCGATCGGCACAAGGTGGCTCAGACCGCCGTTTTGCCAAAATTTGGCAAACAAACAGAGGATAGTAAATATATGAAAAAAAGAATGAGGGCCACAATTGGTTTGTAGTACTTTCCATATCACGCAACTAACGTACATGCAATAGTCTTTTCTATTGTTTTATTTTTTAAATGGGAGAAAAATGATGTGTTGAAAAGAACACAAGATGAAGTGAAAGAACATGAAATATATGTACAAAAGAAGTTGATCGTTTTCAGGCGTATATGATAGAAGACTGAAGAAGTTCTACATTAGAAACGAAGTTAGAAGTTCTATATTAACTAATAGAAACAATTAATGCAATTTAAATTTACAGTTTAACAAAAATAGAAATCGTAAGAAAGTTGAAATAAAAGTAATTGAAGACATATTAAACTGATTGGATTTGATCAGTCTTACTGGGTGATTCGCAGATACGCGTTCGAGCGAAATCTGTACCCGCGAATGTAAACCGGCCCTGTAGAGCTGTCAGTTCAACATGCATTTCTCTGTGTGGCCTGCGAGTTGATGAACCTCTAATTTGGTCATTAACGATCATTGAGTCTGTCAGCCGGGTTTCGGCGTATCTCGGCATGAGTTTTAACAAATATATGCTCACTGACTCGCAGACCCACAACTGCCACTAACATTAATTGAAGAAGTTGGAAGTTGATGAAGAACTGACGCTTCTTAAATGCGGTTGCTTAAGGTTCGCACTAGGACGAACGGAATAAGAGTAATTTTTTTGTTTATTACTGTGAGGTCCAACTAGTACACAGATTGTATTAGATGGGAAATACTAGTGTATGGTATACAGGTTTTATTCAAATTACTGGTTAATTTTTAATATGTACTGTCAGTTCTGGTCTGGATCGTTGATGTTCATCTTGTCGAGGGGTGGTCCGATGGTTTTCTGTCCGGCATTTTCCTTGTCCCACACGAGATGATAGAGCTTTTCGAAAGAGCGTCTGCTGTAGATGCCCATGATGGCCAGTTCGTTGATTGAAACGTTCGGTCTCGCCAAGCTGAAAATCTCTTTGGTGAGATCGCTGAATTTTATCGCATCCTGATATGTGAAGTCCCTGGAAAAGTCGAGTGAGATGTATATTTTTGAAATGCGCTCTCCCATCGCCGAAGCGCCGACATCGACGAATCTGCCTGGAGCGGGGAATCGTTTCGATCTGCCTACAGAATACCTCGGGATCGAATTGAGATCCTCAATCATTTGGTCCCTGATGCACGACTTATTCAGCAGGGCGTTTCTGTACTTCATCATCACTTCGAGCAACTCCTCGAAGGATATGAACTTGGAAAACGGCACGTGTTTATGTACGGTTTCGTTCCAGTTTACATAAACTTCCTCGACTTCGGAGACATGTCTCATCGACGATTGATCAACCATTATCTTCCTTTTCAAAATTATTTCCGTATTTTCTTTAGTCTATGTAAATATACACGCGAAAAAAATGTTTCTAATATACGAATAAAACAAACAAAACAAAATTTCAGCTGATTGTTTTACAAACATAAAGTTAGAAAACAAAATTTATTTTATGTCTACTAAAAATATAACAAGCAATTAGTTAAAAAATGTATTTAAAAATATAATCTTCGCATTCCCAGCTTATAATTTATTAGCATAAAAGACGTGTATTATGAAGTTTTGCACAAGTACTCTGGAGAAAAAAAAATCAAAGAATTGTTACTATGTACTTCGGAAGGTACATATTCAATTAATTAGCCGATTATGTATCATGTAATCAGTGACTCTGTTGAGGTACTGGGCGATCTAGAACAATAAAATTTATTGCCGGAAATCCTTTTCCGACGGGTGGTTGCAGTAAATGAATCAAATAGATACGAAATGATAAAGGTATTTACAAAATGAGCAACTTAATCTGATCTGCAAATAATTATAGAAAACCATACATTAGAAATATATAACTAAATTAACCAAAACTAATAACGATTTAAAAGTGAATTTAGCGACTTCATGCGATGCTGTCTTTAGATGTAAGTTCTTAACACCAAAAGCCTTTAAGAAAAGTAGTAATAATTAACTTTTAAAAATAACAAGAGATGATTACATCGTCTGAAAGCAGTGGAATTCGCCGAGGAAGAGGAATCCCAGCTCTTGAAAGAAATCATTGATTTGATGGTAATTTTTTTATTAATTTTAATTTTATTAATTTTCACTATTATTTCTTAACAACTTTATTAATTTTAAACCATTTTCGTGGCGTGGTGTGGACAATAATCAAACTGCAGAAAGCGCCAGTGCGATGTCAATGCGGATAGGACTCTTTCAGGGGGACTCCCTCAGCGCAGTTTGATTTGTCCTCGTTCTCACAACTTCTGGAGACCTCATGATACGGATATGGAATTACTGGAGTGGGTGGCCAAGCAGTCTACTGTACATGGATGACCTGAAAGTACGCTACCGGAAGAGATCAACTCGACTCACATAATTCGATCAATATAGTTAGGAGATACTCGGCAGATTTAGCCATTAAATTCGGTCTCGACAAATGCTGTAAACAAACCCTCCATAAAGGTAGGATTCGAACAACGGAATTTCGGTAGAGGACGATACCAAGATCGAAAGTCTACACGACACTTACAAATTGCTAGAACAGGGGGCTGGAACATCAGAAAAATCGAGGAAATTATACGTACAGTTTGTGTGAAGGTTAAAGTTAATCGCAGTTAGAGGGTTAACTAATAAAAACTTTCCGAGGACAATCGACAGTTACTGCATTGGACTACTGATGTCTATTGTGTGGATAGCTAATGTGACTATGGGGTCATTCATATCTCCTGAGGCGTTACAACGTTCGATTCGCACAACTCTAGCAACCTTTAGGGAAAACCCGACCAGTTGGTGGGCAAGTAGTTAGTTATATACCTACCGTTTTACTCGACAAGCAGCTCGCGAATAAGAAGGTATTTCCGCAATAAGTTAGATTACCTTATTTAGCAGCAATAACAGCCGTCGATGACAAGTAAAAATAGAAAACGTCAACAATAATAATTCTTTCAGACATCCAGACAGCTAAAGTTTTTCCAAGCATATGAGATCACCTCAAAACTTCACTGGAACTACCTAAATCCTCTAAAGAACTGGGATCAGACCACGAAGACATTTCAGGTAACGCGGAAGCAGATAAAAAAAAAGAGTTGTGTTATTTTTTGTACGTTTCGGGCTATTGGCCCTTCTTCAGAAACCCACATGGACTAATTAATGCATAGTAACTCACGAACCAACGGACATTCATTCCAAAAAATTTTAAATTAAAGCATCTTTCAGCGTTGGCGATTGGGTTTCCCTTCTCCAGCTTGGCTGAAAAATTAAAGGTTGTTGGAAGGAATGTCCGTTGGTTTGAGAGACACTTATAAATGTCAATAGCCCCAAAACGTCCAAAAAATAAAAAATCACCATGGATTTATTTGATTTTTTAATACGCTTCATCTTGACAGAAATGCATTCTCTGAATGGTATATTTCCAGAACATGCTTCAAAAAGTACCACCTTAAAAAAAGGTACTATTAACAGCAGACCAATGTCGATTAGACAAGAGACAGTTAGATGGGTAGATAGGGTAGATAGATGTACTAGTCGGGGTGTGTATTATACTTTTTTTATATTCACTTTATACATCATTATTCATACAATTACATTAATTTTCTTAATAAAAGTGCAATTCACGGTACCCAGCTAATTCGGTTGACGATATTAGAGCTTTGTATCCATAAGGTGTTTGAAGATTTATTTCTTTGGCAATTGAGTCGGTCGAACATGTGTCTGCGTTTATTTGCGCGTTTCTTGCAGTGCATAATGATGTGTTCGAGATCCTCATATGTTCCGCAGTCCTCACAGTTCGGTGACGGGATTATATTAAATCTGTAGAGATTAATGAAATTAGACACATTCCGTGATCGGATCTTAACCTTACTATTGTTTTGTAAAATGCCTTGGTTATATTAATTGCTTTGGTGTTTGCTTTTATTATCCCAATAATAGGTTCAGGGACTATTTATGATCTTGCACATCGTCTGCCCTCTTGCTTTTACTTTACCCAAAATTATTTTGAGTTCTGGTGCTCATGATGTAATAAGGTTGTTGTGTTGCCCCAGATTTTGAAGACTTTGGATGCATTCACTGGCTAAATTTTTACATGCTATTCCTACATTTATCGGCCTTCTGATATCATGTAATTATGGATGCGTATTGGGGAAGAGGCCAACGAAGAAATAACTCATGTTAGAGTTAATGATGGATTTTGGTCTGCGAATCGGTGAACGCATGTTGAACCGGCATGGGGTCACTTGCTGGGTCTGTCTCCACTCGCGGGTTTTTGAGCTATGCAAACGCTTTTCGTCTGCGATTACTCCATCTTCAGTGAGGAACTGTAACTCTAAATATTTCAAGCTGTTTTAAGCCTTTCTGCCTATTTAATTACTTCACAGTTATGAAAAATGTTATGCTTTGCATCGCCCGGACATCATCGGACGCGACGTCTGTCTTGCTCGGTAGTTTGCAAATTTGACGCCACTCCGCGCCCCGCTTCGCCTGGTGATACGATGACTCACGCCCGTTACGTCACAACGAGATCCCATGTAAAGACGTCAGTCTCCAAGTAACTCTGCTGTTAATTTTCCCTTCTTTCTAGTTTTAAACTTTCCTTTTTCGTTTTAAACAAATAGATAATTTACACTTTACAAACATTGTCTTATTCTGTGAACATCAGCGTTTATATTAACGAGTTTATACCGAGAAAAAAGGTAAAACAACTAGACTCGAGTTTAGGGCTGCTTGTCGTTTTTGAGAATTCAATCTCGAACATTCATTTGAAGTAAAAAACATTTTAAAAAAATACATCGGAGGTTTAACGTTTTATTTTGACCTAATGATTTTTGTAGATTGGATTCCGTTCTGATTTTGTGTGTAACGTTCATCAACAGGTTATAGGAGATGGAAACAATGGAAGGAACTTCGTCCGCCCAGAACAACAAGATTCGCCAGGCCCAAGCCAGAGTGGATGAGGTACAAAATTAAAAAGTTTTACTCAAAATACTATTGATTTAAATGATCACATATTTCGATTTATTAATAATGCCGCATTGGAAACAGGATTCCTTCGGAATGGGTGAGTTAAGATTTCGTTTATAAACCCAAACACTCAATATTATGTGAATTAATTTTCACTGGTGTGTCGCTTTGCTGCCTTGTAGGAACATTTATTTCACTACATACAAGAAAATACAGTTGCGCAAAAGATAAAGGTGTCAATGTAAAATTAAATAAAATGAAACAATTTGTTAATTGTGCTACTTTTGTTATATTTTCACTTGAAACTTTCCAAAGATGAGATGGTTTTCAAGTTATATCATGCTATTTCCTCTCAAACTGTGATAAGCGATAATAATGGGATAAAAGAGGTGGGTTCAGGGTTGCACCTCGACCTAAGTAGATCTGCCGGGCTCCTCTGTTTATTATTCAGGTTGTTATCAACTTCCTAGCCTTGCCAATGGCTCCTAAGTGTAGAGTCTTGCTTGCAGCGTTTACTCTCAAAGTTGCAAGAATCTGCATCTACGTAGACCTTTATAAACACATAAAACGTGTTCTGTGGACTCCTCTTCTTCTTAGCAATATCTGCACAGTATTTCTTGTCTATACTCCTATCCGGTGCATGTGTCTTCTTAGGCACGAGTCCAACCAGAATCATCGTTCTGTTACCATTGCCCTTAGTAATTCTTTTCCAAGTCTTTTGGATAGTCCTTCTGTGAAACTCTTCACATGCTTCATTCCTGGGGCATTGTTCCACCAGGTTTTGGACTCATTAAGGATCAATTTTTGAATGTGTCCTTTTTTGTCGTAAAGTGATAATAAAAGATTATGCTAGTTAGACGTGTTTCCACTAGATAATGAAATTTTACTCTAAAAGTTGCTAGTGTGAGAAAAAAATTCCATAAAATAATAACTGTACAATTGTCACATACAGGCAGATTGTCATTCTGAACCGGCATAGGGTCACTTGTTAGGTCTGTCTTCACTCATGGGTTCGTTGAATTACTCAAACATGTTTCAACATTCTGCCATCTTCATTGAGGAAATCCTGTATTTTCCCTCCTGAGTTTCTCTGAAGATGGTGCATTACTGCAATGGGCTTGAGTAATTTAATAAAACTGTGAGTGATGACAGGCCCAATTCTGGTTACCCTATGCCAATTCAGCGTGAGTTAACAGTCTCGCAGACCAACACCCACTATAAACTTAAATTTATTTGTTATAATGTGTGATAAATTTTCTATTACTCCAAGCACCAAGGTGGTAGTTGTTTTTTTCCATCCATAACTACTTCAGTATTGCAGGAGTTCCTCTCTAGTTAGCATCATCTTGCCAAACCATCTGACTCTGTACACCCTTAATGCAGAGCAAAATGCCAAGTAATGAAGTCTACAATCGCCCAATTATTACACCACATTTCAATATAAAACATGTTAAAAAAGTGAACTTGATATATAATCTATTGATAACTTTATCTTGTGAATAATTGAATTCATGCAAAAAAATCCCTCTCTGTGACAGTCAAACCATCTCAGTTTGTAGTTGTTAGTATTAATATGTTATTCCTTTTACAGGTTGTAGGTGTAATGCAAGTGAATATCGCCAAGGTGCTGGAGAGAGATCACAAGTTGTCAGAATTAGATGATAGAGCAGGTGAGTGTTAAAACGGTTAGACAAAAAAAAAGTTTTCATTTGTGTGTTTTTCTTGATGCAGACGCCCTCAATGTTGGGGCTTTCCAATTTGAACAACAGGCAATGAAACTTAAAAGGAAGATGTGGTGGAAAAACCTTAAAGTGAGTGGGACATTTTATATTTACATAAACTAGTTTTTTTCTTTAATTTTTTAGTCTGTTGTAGGTTTTTAAATGAACCATTTTGAACAACATGGCTAAAAAATAAAAAGGAAATTTTTCATGAAAATTAAAGTTTATTAAACTACTTTTTTTGTCTGCAGTTTACACTCATTCTTGGTGCAATCGTCGGAGTATTGGTTTTAATTTTGATAAGTAAGTGTTACAATTCATTTTTGTCAATGAACTAAAAATGTAGGAATATACAAAGAATTATTCTTTATTTGAATTGTAATGGTTGGCCTTGAGTAATTGCATGAATAACATCGTTCTGCATTGTTTATAGAAAAGTGGTCATGATGAGCGTCCCACGCCAGCAAGTGGGAGGTCCAAACTTTCCAGATCATGCCACTCTTATCTCTCAAAAGTCATTTCATCAGATATATTATCATACCATATATCATATTATCAATATAAACGGAATTATTTGATTTGAAAAATGATGTCAACCAAAAGTTGATGAAGAGTTTTTTAATATATTTTTTAATTAATTGTTTTAATGGACTTATGGGGGACCGCGGTAGCCGAGTGGTTAGCATGAGAGACTCTCACGCCGGGGTCGTGGGTTCGATTCCCACCGTCGCCTCTGGCCCTTTTTTCCCGATAACCCCCAATTTGAACACACAAGAATTCGTACTATGGCTAATATGCAAGATCATAAGGCCAATAAAAAAAAAATTTTAAAAAAAATGGACTTATGTTTTCCATATTAACCAGAGAAACGATGTACATATGTATTTTACATGGTAGTATTTCCTGGGGGAAGGGGAGTGTAAATAAAAGCCAAGGGCGATGGTGGGAATCGAGCCAACGGTTGCAGGATCAAACTGAGAGTCTTAAACACTAACCATTTGACTACCGTGGTCCCCCTTTACGATGATTAAGAAAGATCTTTCTAACCACAAGAATAGTATCAATAAAATTAAATTATATAATTCGTTGCTAAGAATGGAGATTATGAAAATAAATACAGACCTCACTAATATCTCACAGCTATTTATTTTAGATATTTTTTTACATAATTATTGTCCATTTCTGTTAGATATTACAATCCCTTTTGTGAGAAAAATTTAACTTTATTTTACTCTTAACTTTTACATCTACTGATATTACCTTAATTTCAGTAAAATTCTGTGCTTCATACAAAAATTTGAAACTTAGTTAATACATCATTATATGTATTACATAAAGCTAAGCAAGTCAACAAAATAAATAATGACTGTGTATTTGGGGGGGAAAAAGAGCAGAGAAATGGAAAAAAATAGTTATTATTATACCAATATAACATTTAAAAATGGCAATAATTTAATTATGTTTCCCAGATTTTATTTATTTTCGACTTGTATTATAACAATTAAAAAATTTGTAAATTATGGTCCTACTCATATATTTGTTGTTTTTAACTATCTGGATTTTGAGCTCATCATCAGGTTGAAGGAGTTACAAATGTCTGTTGACAGTATTCTTGAATTGTAAGAGTGAATGCGATATTCCTATAAGAAACTGGTTTTTAATGCCGCTAAATATTATCCTAATTTTAAATTTTAGTACATAGTTACCCAACCTTCATCATTTCTTCAAGTTTAAATTTACCAGATTTTCTTCCTTTTTGGCTTTTATTGTAACCTCATTGTCTCTCTTTCTTATATGCTACTATTTTTTGCCTGTAAGTACCTGTAATTCTGCTCCTTTCTCAACTTCCTTGTCTTAGACATAAATTAACTCCTTTTAAACAGGGCTTTATTTATCCAAACTGGGGTTTCACCATAAATCCAGATGCCATGTAGTAGACATTTCGTTTGATTTTGCTTTGCCAATATTCTGATGAAGGAAGCGATAATGGCTGAGCTTAGAGTTCATCTGTGTATTATCAGAAGTCTACAACACATTCACTATTTCTTTATTCACAGAAAAGTCCAAGGCTATCTTGTTCTTGCTCAATACATGTAGAGGGTGTAATTACTATGTAATGCAATTACATTATCCCTAAGGATTCCCCTAATTTCATTTGTTTTAGTAGAGATTTTTCCTCATTCCTGTCAATATGAATTTCCCTTCTTGTACTGGCATTTGAAATTCCATCCTTTTAGTTGCAAGAATTTCACTTGTGAGACCAGATCATTGATTTTTACTTTTTTTTTTATTTTCAACATCCGAAGCAAATTCATTAAATTTACTGTGCAAGAATTCAATCTACTTCTCCAGTATTTCTTCAAGCTATTTTTAGTTCAATTCTTTACAAAACTCTTTTAAAATGCTCAAAATTGCTTTAGCTTCTGACTCATTTGTCAAATATAACAAGTAGAGTTCTATGTCGAATTTTAAAATGGGTAATATATCACCTCAATTGTCCTCTTCAACAATGGTCTGAATATCAACTACAGTCATGTTAACACAAGCTCCAGGATGAAATTGCAGGCACTCACCACACTTGATTATTATTGTTTTATATATATATATTTTTTACAAGGGTTTGCAACAGCAGAGGTCGTATAAACCCTCAGGGTGCCGGTGTTTTTGAAAAAAAAGCCCATTTGTGAGTATGTCGGGTTCGAATGCAGGGCCGCTGGATTCGAACCCGGGACCTTTACCTTACAGTGATGAACGCCGTGTCAAAGACTAAACCTTGCGGCCACCGACGACCCTACACACTTGATTTTAGAAGCCTTTTTGAGATTGATTTTCTGCAATCTGGGCACGTTTTGCCATTTTTTAATAAATAATTAAGCATAAAGAATAATATTGTTGCACTTAACTAATTATTTCATATGTGTACATTCTAAGGATACTCAAAATACACATAGATGTCTTATCGGATCAGACTGAACGACAACTGAATTGTATTTTGTGTATTAAGACCAATGCCAACTTTTATTTTACAGATCATTTCTATAACAATAAATAATAATAATGTGAATATTTGTATTCTAATTGTAAATTACATTTTTAGAAACATTTTCCTATAAAGAAAAAGAACCTTTTTCAAGTTAAACTGACAACCATAAATAATTACATTTTTAAATGTAAATAAAATAAATTTGTTTTCAAAATGTTCAGAAATATTTAGTTTAACCATTTTTTTTTCTTTTTAGTTTGGATTGCTAGATCATTTGGAGATGATAAACATCCAGTCACCGAAGCCCCCAGCTCTTAATAATTAAAGTGCAATGTTGTGTAATGTGAAAAAATTATTTTTGTAAATCTTCTAAAATAACAACACTTGGTATTTTTAGATTAATATCTCTTTAATTTAATTACAATTATATTTGCTTATTATTAATAAAGCACATTATTGATATATAAATTCCACATTGTACGTTTATACTGTTTTACTATGTATATTTCTACTAAAAAATAAGTTGTTCTAATATTTGTAGCACAAATTTTTCTTTTACTGTTACTATTATTTTATGTAATTTAAAAATTAAATAAATTGAGGCTAAAGCACAAATTGTTAAAATGATTTACATTATATTGTTATAATTATATTTTGTGTTGTATTATATATATATTATTACATTTATAATTTTTACTTTCTGAGGGTTGTTTTTAATAATTTATTAAGACGGTAGGTATTTTTTCCATAGACTAGGACAATTATGACAGTCTAAATAAATAAAATGAAAAGTTGAAATATTGATTTTGGGGAGCTTCCACTGCACCCCTGCACTGCTGTACTTATTGGTGTTAGGTAGCCACTGATCAGAGTGAATTAAGCAAACATCCAAAAGTATACATTAATGTTTATAGTCATTCACAAAAATCACCTTGAACACAAGTTTTTTTTTTTAGTTTAACATTTTTCTTTTGTATCTTTGAATTAAAACATTTCAATTATACGCTGGTAAACAGAAGAAATGATTCTAGTTGTTTGTTCCATTCTAGTTGAGAGTTTCTAATTTATTTCCTGCACTTGTGTCTAATTTAAGAGTAAAAGTTTTTAGACCCACTGAAAATTTCGCAAGTTTAATTATCAAATAGCTACCTGCTTACTAATATATTTTTGGGAATTGATAAAAAAAAGTTAATTTGTGTTTAGTCGTTTACTCGTGATCATTTTGTTCAATGTATTAGATGGAGGAAGGCAGAATTAATACAATTTCAAATACAAAGTAAGCGAAAATAAAAACTGTTTAGGAAGACTGGTCTTGACAATTGTGATTACATAGGGGTTCAAAAGCTTATTTTCACTTTAGCATTGCAATAAACTTTGTGTTCTGCGTCCTCAAAACGTACGGAATGGAACGTTTTTAGTGTAAAAAATCCCTACTCTCCCGTTTGAACGTAACGAAACCTCCAATTTTTCTTTAAAAAAAATCGAAATTCCGAAAATAAAAGACGATTTTCGAGAAAAAGTTCGTGTAAACCGTAAAACGATTTGGGTCGGTCGCAAAAAGTGTTAATTTCGTCGGCAGCTTTTGACGAATGTCATCAAAAGCTTGTCAATGAACGTGGACGGGCGCTAAGTTGATCAGGCATGGAAATTGGAAGGGAGCTCGCGCCTCGCTCTCACCTCTTCTTCCTTCTGCCACTTCCACTTCCACTTCCACGCCTCACGGCTGGCCATTCCTCCCCTCAACCGGCTGAGGTGTCGATCAGTCCACAAGCTTAGACAATTAAGTAGGAAAACACGTATCATTTTCACCTTTTTCTTCTTACTCTTATCATTTTTTATTTTTATTTTTGTTTTACCATCTTTGAATGATGTACGAGTAAACGTTTTACAGTTGGAGAAATTTTCGTTCAATTACATCGTTTCACCCGGGAAAAGTTTTATTTTCTGTGCAATGGATCAAATAAGATCAAAGGACCAGCATGCCTACGAACATACTTTGGTAAGTCAACAACTTTATTAACATTATATGGAAATTAAATGAGGTTTTAAATGTCGGCCCAAAGTCAATTTTTACATGTGCAGGTAATCGCCTGCTTTCTTCAGTTGTATTTCGCCGTCCCGAGTTTGTTATCGTTCAAATTTACATCGAGAGCTTTTGCTCCCGACTTAGGAAAAGACAGAAGAAACGATACCTAGTTAATTACGTCTGATTTGAAATTTCCATACCCGAAATCTTTTTCTATATTGCAATCTGACGTTTCTTTACCGTCTGATTAAATCCTTTTATTTTGTTGACAAATCTAAAAATATTCTCGTCTCCATTCGTCGTGTTTTAAGATGTTTTTAGTATTACCTTTTGAGAGGGGCGAGCATGTTAAAGACGCCTATAGACACTGGCTGGCATCGTCTCGTAAATAAATAATTATCAGTAGTAAACAAATAATGTATGATTGTCGGCCGTTGATGACAACGGATTTAGATAACTGTTGACGTAACATTTATCAGAACGTCGGACGGCTTTTTATTACAATTTTGTCGAATATTCATTTATAGACCTGCCCTCGGTTGTTGAAATCTGCACATTAAAAGAAAAAAAAAAACAGCGGACGCGAGGTCGCTTTGTCGATTATTACTCGATTTGTCAGTTTTCCTGGCTTTTGGGATCATTTTACAATGACTGTAATTTCTCTTTTGGCTCTGGATCAAAATGATCGAAAACGATTAAGCTTCATTGCCAGACTACGTTAAGAGAAAAGCTCACAATTTTCGTTTCCTTAGTTTGGCTCTTGCTTATCTTACAGGTCTTCGGCCCTTTAGAAATGTCGAGACATCAGCGCGTAAAATTCCACTATTTTATTTATTTATTTTTACTACGAGGCCATATCAACCCTCGGGGTGCCGTTGTTTTTGAAAAAAAGGCCATTTGTCGGGTTTGAATTCAGGGCTGCTGGATTCGAACCCGGGATGAGCTCCTAACCGTTGCGGCCACCGGCGCCCTTCAAAATTTCACTATAAAACCATAAAGGAATTAAATTTGTAAAAAATATCTTCAAGTTTGAACTCTCTGAGTAATGAGACAACGTTTAATTTCTTTGTCTTTTCTGAGTCGATTAATAAAGCATAACGATATTTTTATTTAAAATTTTCAATTGCCTCGCCTATAAAATATTAATTATACATAAAATGCAACTAATGAAGTTTGAAGTCAATGGGCTCGATAAAAACACTTCAAAATTAAATATCGAGGTTGTCAAAGAAAAAAGGTTGCGAAACACTGTTTACTGCTTTTTTCATCATTTTTTTGTGAGCTGTAATAATTTTCTTTGGTGGCTGTATTACGCTATAATTACTGGCCGCATTGCTCGATGAAAAACTAAGATTGCTTATGTAAATCGAGAAATTATCGTTGATGGATTGCATGGAATTATTGGTTGTGTCGATAAAAGGCTTCTATCCTCAACTCGCCAAATAGCAAATTCTATTGGTTTTTTTGAGATTTCCTATCGACATTTTCGTATTTTAATGAGGCCTTAATAACTATTTATGAATGATCTTCTGGTGTGCACTTACATATGTAATAGGGTGAGTAATAAAACATGACCGATTTCATTTTTTTCGAAATTGTAATCCCCTATAGCCTTTATTTGTTTTTCAAATCCAATTAGATTTGATACCACTTTGATCCGTTGTCTGTACTAAATGTATATGTAAAAAAATGCTCTCCGTCTTGCCTCAAGTTTTATCTTACGCTATTATTGGAAAAGTAAGTTTTCCGCTGCCGAAAGAAACCGCTTGGTGCGGCAATTTGAAGAAGAGGATGCTCTGTCTGAAGGGACAGTGTGCAGATGGTTCCAGAAATTTGAAGCCGGGACATCAGGCTCGTGAAGAAAGAGGGTTTCTAGACGAAAACCATCATTCGATGAGGCACCTCTGCGGGACTCTGTTAAGGCAGACCCATTGGCAAGAGATCTTGGAGTTTTCCAATCCACCATAAATCGTGGACTCCATAACTTGGGGAAAGTGAATCGATCCATTAAGAGTGATTCATCATGAGTTGACCATTGAGCAGGCAAGACGCCTTGTAGAACTTTGTCAACATCTTTTGAAAAACCCAAATGACCTTCGTCATCGATCAAAAGAATCCTAACTTGCTATGAAAAGTGGATATATTGGAGAAACCCCCAACAATGGCTAGACTGCAGTCAGCCTGCTCTACCAGTCACTAAACAAGACAAAACAATCGACAAAAAGACAATCTTCTCTGTATTTTGGAATTACCAAGGCATAATTCATTATGAATTCATTCTGTAAGGTCAAACCATTGATTCAAAACTTTATCGTGAGCAGTTACAAAAATATACTACGTTTCGACCCAGCGTTACCCAGGATTAATTGGGAATAGAAATCGGGTTTTGTTTAAACAAGATAACGCCCGACCACATGCTTCTCGTTGCGCGTGAAAAAAAATTGGATGGAATTGAGCTTTTCCGTCACTCTGCTTACAGTCAATACTTTTAGCACCTTCCGACTACCATCTGTTCCGGTCCATGGCCCATTATCTTCAAGGGAAATCTTTTAATTCTCTGGATGAGGTTCAAAATGGAGTTGCAGAATTCTTCAAAACACAAAGAGTAGTATTGCGAAGGAATCCAATACCTGGCCTCGAGATGGCAATAAACAATAGAATACAAGAAAACAACTGTATATACTTTGAATAGGGATGGTATATGATCAGCCAGACGGTACTTACCATGTACCGTATAATGTTAATTTACTTTGTTTTGTATATATTTCTTTTTGTTCTTAAATTATTATTATTATTATTATACTTTGAATATTAGAAAAGTTGTATCAAAACAAAATTATTTTTAAATTAGCTTTTTTATGACTCACTATATTAATAGATAAAAGTGTAACTCGTTTAAATGATAAGCATCATTATTGTAGTTTTTTATTATTGCACCCATGCACTGATTGTTTTATTCTGTCAATTTACAAATAAATGCATCTACGAGTCTAGCATATACTGTTAAATAAATAGCCTACTCTTCCGGCATGACTCTAAAGCTGTGTTGTAATGAGTGCTATAGTTATGAGCCGTCCAGTTATCCAGAACTCTATGTTATTAGCTAAAAATAGTTTGAAACGGAGGTAGCGTCAATACATCATTGTTTGCTTGTGCCTCGTGCTGCCTAGGGCTGACGGAACGCATGTTTATTATACATAAGAAATATCCTTCGAACTTCAGGAAGGTTTCGGCTGCAAAGCAAGTCGTACTGTTCTCTTCTGTTTTTAAACATTAAACTTAAATTTAGACATAAAATTAAAACTTACTACTCAAGTAGAAATTCAACGCCGGCACAATTTGTGGAAATCACAAATTTCGTGCTTGCTGCAGTTGGAAGATAAAGTTCATTTTTAAATTAACCAACACTGTTACCTTGTGTATATTCTGTAGTAAATTAAATGACTAAATGACATTAAGATAATTCCAGAATTTGCATTATTTTTAAATTACTACATGTCTATTGTAAAATGACTTTTCTGAAAGTGTATAGCAAATAAAAAATATATTACATTATATTATAAATTATAAAATATATTTAAGATCTATCATTTATATGTAATAACACTATAAAATAAGAACTTTCTAAAATAAACATTGCCAAGTTTTATTACCATGGTCTTAACATTGCTGTAAGTTTCCTGTAGACTTCTGATACAAAAATACATAATTTTACAAAAAGTTTTCTTTTAAAAAATATATAATTAATCTGTTGTTATTGATGTTATAATTATTAACAAAATCAAGATTCACGGTTACTACAGCCCAGTCATTAACCATAATTTTATTTCATTATAACTCCAATATATAATAATGATTAAACAAATTAGAAATCGTAAAATTCTCTTACTGAAAGAAGGCCGTATTGTTTCTTTTACAGTCATAGTAGCAGTCGCCCCCCGGCTTCGCTAGGGTAGTATGAAAATTACAAATTTGTTATTTGTACGGAAACTTTATTTATTGATTTGGACCTTGAGAAGCCGACGTTTAATTGTACGTGTGAGAAACATTCTTCCAAAAATCTAATATAATATAAATATTTATACGTTTGTCCTTAATCGTTATGGCGAAAGATAGTTTGATAGGGAATACAAATAATTCTCTCAATTAAAAGCCCGACAGAGAAATCACGGCATCTCTTAAGGTCTTTCTCTTTTCTCATCATCTTCTAAAAGACCGTATTCTTTGCAAGCTGCTTGGCAAGTTCTTTTAATTCTCCATTTTATCGTGCGCAAATACGGAAAAGAAGTAGACACGCGGATATAATGAGATGGAAACACTGACTGATTTGGGTGAACGTTATGTACTCTTCCGAGTGCATTGTCTTTTTTTTTATGCTGGGATATCCGTCTACTTCTTGACTCAGCTTCCTTCGGGAAAATGTGTTATTAGCCCAGGTATAGTATTGTCGTATCGTTGTAAGCTGGCTACGCAACAGCCTTTGATCAGTCTCCTAGGGTGGAGTCTAACTCATACATCATATTGAAAATGCAGTTGTAAAAAACAGAACAATAAAAAAATTGACTGCCAGCTGGCTGAAGCCTTTTCATTTGGAATTTAAATGGAATGGTTTTTTTAAACATTAGTAAACTGTCCAGGTGCCCAACTTATGCCAAATATTTCAATATTCAAAGCTTACAAAGTTTCCAATCCAAAATTTTAATTCTAATTGTTTCTGCCCCTTTTTCATAAACAATAGCACACTTCACACAGATCTTCATGCCAATTGTTTTTTCATCCATCAAAACATATTACAGACGTTTTCATAGTAAATTACAACACCACACTAACGATCAAATACGATTAGTCCATTCTCAACAATAATTACTGAACTCATACTCAACGTAATTACTGAAAAGAATATGGATAAGAGACCTCATAAATGATTAATATTAGTTTATTAACCCAGAGCGGCTGCCAATGGGTAGCTTTCT